TCAAGGATCTGTCTCCCCCCGCCGCCATCTCATTGCTGTTCATCATCATCAATTTCTCCATCTCATCTCCTGGCTAGGTACAAAAGTTTCTTAATAGCACCAATTTAAAAAACAACTACAGAAGCAAGGATGTGGAGAAATTGGAAGCCTCGTACGAGTTAGTGGGAATGCGAACTGGTTTAGCCACTGTGGAAAGAGTTTGGTGGTCTCTCAAAAATTAAGCGCAGAATTACCACACGACCCAGCACTTCCAGTCCGAGGCGGGTACCCGGGGACCTGGAATCAAAACCTTGTGCTCGACTGCTCACGGAGGCGCTCTTCTCAGGAGTGAACGGAGGGAACGCTCCAAAGGCCCGTGAACTAGTGATAAACACCTGTGGTTTATCCACGCAGTGAGTATTATTCAGCCCCATGAACTAACGACGTTCTGACGCATGTTACAACACGAAGGGACCTTGACGCCATTGTGCTAAGTGAAAAAAAGCCAGACACCAAAGGTCGAGAGCTTTATGTAATTCCATTTAAGTGAAAAGTTCAGAGCAGGCAAAACCATAGAGGCAGAAAGCAGGTGAGTGGGTGCCGGGGGCTGGGGGAGGGTGCAGGTGGGAGCAACTACTTAACAGGTAAGGGGTTTGCTTCGGGGGAGATGACGATGTTCTGTAACTAGACAGGGGCAGTGGCTATGCAGCACTGGGAACGTGCTACAGGCCACTGAAGGGTTCCCTTTAAAACGGTTGATTTGCTGGTTAGTGAATTTTACCTCAATTTAAAAAACAGCAGCACTCAGGGTGACCCTGTGGCCTCCCGCAATCACCCCTTCCCCATGCTCTTGGCTGCAGTGAAACTGTCCCCGAGAGAATCGGCTGTCTGCACGCAGCACCTCCGCTCTCCCTTCAGCTCCGGCCCAGGGGTCCACGCACCACACCACTCAGGCCGCTCTCTCTAGCACGTCAGTGATCCAAAGGTCAGTCCCCCTGACCTCCCGGCAGCTTGATGAGATGACCACTCCTTTTTCTTCTGGGTTCTTCTAGAAGCATCCTTAGCAGCCAGCAGACTGGCCTGGTTTCCTCCCCACCTCCCTGACCACTCCTTAGCCCACTGCGCTGCTCCCCCGGAACCTCCGTAGGGGAGCGTCTGGGACTCAGCCCACGGCCCTCCTCTCCGGGCTACCACTCTCCTTCCATGAGGGACCTCACCAGACTTGTGGCCTTGACACCAGTGCCGCACTGCCAGATCTGTCCTCCCCCCCCAACCCCCCCACTCAGACCCCTCCCCTGAGACCCAGGGTCCTGCACTGCCCTTCCCGTCAGCGCCCTCACCTGGCTGAGGAGTGTCGCAAACACAGCGGGTCCCACCCAAACGGAGCTTCCGACATCCTGTCCCAGCCTTCGCCCCCGCTACCAACCACCCAGTCTCTCAGCCTAGACATCAAAGATTCCTCCTTTCCTCTGGACTCCCTCCTGGTGCCTGGCCATGCCACCAAAACCCCCATCGAGTCTGCTCTCCATTGCATCTGGGCCGATGACATCATCTGTCCCCTGGGAGACTGCCTGCCACAGCCTCCTGACAGAGGTCCCTGCTCACCTCCCACTGCCCTGATGGTTCCATCCAGTGGCATCTAGCATGACTTCCTATGGCAAAACCACGTGACTCACCCTGCTTAACACCTCCGGGGCTTTTCTGGAATCAGATCCCAACTTGATTCAGACCCTCCTCCTCCTTGCTCATTCCCCTCACACACCTTGGGCATCCCCGGCCTGGACTCCAATTCTGGCTGTGCTGCCAACCCCCTGTGTGACTTAAGCAGGTCACGAAGGTCCTGCCTGGGTCACAAGGTGGGTGGCCCTGCCGATGCTGCACTCAGAGTCTGACACGGAGAAGCAGGTGCCTTTGGGGAAGCATCCTCCAGGCAGAGGCGGGTCAGGGGCCTGCTAACCAGGCTGTCCTCTTGCCGCTCACCTCCCACGTTTTCTGGGTATTTTCAGAACCGGGAGGCATAGTTCCTCTTCTGATTCAACCCTGAGCTTCCTCCCTCCCCACCCACTGAACTCGTTCTCCAGCCAGGGCGTGTCTGAAGCCGTTGTAACCAGGAATCCAACTGGCCCATTTATCTGGCTCCTTCCAGGTGCACCATTCATACCTCTCCACGCCCACACCCCTGGTCTGGAAGGTCGACCAGAAAGCCCCTGGGGCCCGGCCATTTTGTCCTGGGTCGGTCCCGACGTGGGCTGGACAACTCGGGTGGAAGAACCAGTTCCTGATGATGAGAAGAATCAGCGAACTCAACGCATCCCTGGAGGTCCCCTTAGAATCTCGGTCATTTAAAAAGTGAGACAGTGAATGAGTTTCTGGTCACGGGAGCCTTCAGAGATGGCTGGTGCCACTGCCCCCGGGGCTGTGCCTCCTTCGATTTAAAAAAAGTCAACGTGTAACTACCACACTCATAAAAATGAAGCACAGAAAACAAGCAGTCCTATTTTGCGGCTAAAAGCATTTTCAAACGAAAAATGGCAAAAGTGCTGAAGTGTTTTCTATGATATTTAGACACAAGGATGGAGAACTTCTAAAAGTGTGCAAAGGTTGAAGAGACCCTGCCGATTTTGAGCTCGGCTGGTCCCCTTTAGGGTCTCACTGGAGTCCCGCCGGGGCCATGGCCTCAACTGCACAAACCCTCCGCAGGTGGCTCATGGTCGGACCCAGGCCTCGGACAAGTTAGCATTTCAAAGTTGACTCACAATTTCAGCGTTTCTGAAAAAGTGCAGTGGTGCAGCCTCTCCTCCGCGCTCATCGGTTTGGGCGAAGCAGGAAGGGTACGGCGGCACCAGCCTTGGTCCAGCTTCTGTCCCTGACTCTGCCACCACCCCGCTGTGTGACCTTGAGCAACGCAGTTGACCTCTCTCAGCTCAGCGTCCTTACCTGCGTCCCAAGTGTGACGCCGCATCCCTGCGTGAGGACCAATAATCACGTGTGAACACAATACCCAGCCCCTGGCAGAGACTTGTGAGTTGGACCTATTTTTAACATCGGTAAGTCAATCATTCATGAAATTCAGCAGGTCCGATATAAATATTTACACTTGGCCTCCTGGTCTCTGGTTCGGCTTGACCTGAGTGGACACACAGGAGTCCAGAAGCCTTCGGCCATCCCGACAGGGTCCCGATGACCCTGTGATTCCCCAGGGGGAATCATGTGGTGTAGACGTCGAAAGCAAGGCCGGGGACCAGACGCAGGTCAGCCTGGTCCTCCTTAGACCTGGGCAGGCTCACCAGGGCGCTTCACCCAGCCCCTGCTCAGTTCTCTTCCCTTTCCCTGGCCTCCTTCCAGATTCGCCCTGCACTCGCTGTACAGGGTCTCCGATCCCAGATCCCGTCTGTATGCTGCCGACCCCCTGCATGTCATTAGACCCTCTCCCACCCCCACAAACCTGCTCCTCCATGGGCTCTCCCTGGCAGGCAGCGGCAGCCTCATTTCACCCGGTGACCTACCCAGAATCCGGCCACTTTTCATCAAAAGTGGCTCTTGTGCCTGAGACTGAGCTGTGACGTGGCCTCCTGCCTCCTCTCCCCGCCTCTGCCCTGCCCCTCACGCACACACGTGCCACCACTGCTGCCACCACCACCTACACCTACACTGTCATGACATCAGAAAAAATTTTTAAAAAATATGAACAGATTCTGTAGGTCCCTTTGGACTGTGTGATCAGCCGAGTCCTGACTGAGTCTGTTGCCTGTACTGGCTGTTACCTTCAGGACCTAGATGACAGGACCTTCCTCCCAGCCAGATGGATGACATCTCTGAGATCCCCTTGACCTTGGAGCCACTGCTATCAGCCCCACCTTCCCAGCTGAGGTTGTGCACAGAGAGTTCAGGCTTATGCTCTGCCCAGATGAGGCAGCAAAGACTCCTGCCCTGCCCGGGGACGGTCTCCAGGACTCATGCCCCTGCACTGAGGACAGGCACAGCCTAGCTGTTTCTCCAGCAGGACGGGACCTTCCTGGCTAAGCAGGAGCCCTGCACGAGCACTGGCTCTTCAGGACTCCTTCAGTCGCCCCACTTCCAGCCAGCTAGTTGTCACAGTGGTGTGACAACTCTTTTAAGTGGAGAGACCCGCAGTACCTTAGCCTTCCGAGGTGGGCAGTTACATTTTGGGGTCTGTCAAAGCTGGGGTCAGGCCAAGGGACAAAGAAACAGAATAGCAAATCCAAGTGCTGCTGGCCCGAGAAGCCGTGGGAGCTGCTGCCTCTTTCCTGCTGTTTCCTGAGAAGCAGCTGCTGGGGACGGGGTGCCAGGCAGGGGTCTTCTCTGAACAACGGGGCGCAGAGGGCAGATTCTCAGAGATCTGGGGAAGGCAAGGGGCAAAGGGGCAGAGCAAGGCAGGGGCAGAGTCAGGGCTGCACCACCATTGCCTCCTTGTTTTGCCCCGGCCAGCTGGGTTTGTTCCTGGGGTTCAACTTTTACAGTCCTGATCAGTTCCTGGGGCTCGAACATCCCAGCAGCCACAGGCGAGGCCATGGGGACACCCATTTGCTGCGTTTTGCCAAGCAATCTCTCCTCTGGGAAAGAAATCCACCCATCCATTCATCATCCATCCATCATCTATCCACCCATTCATCTACCCACCCATCCATTTGTCCACCTGTCCATCCATCCATCCACCTAACTATCCATCCATCCATCCATCCATCCATCCATCCATCCATCATCTATCTACCTGTTCATCTATCCACCCATTTACTGGTCCACCTGTCCATCCATCCATCCATCCGTCCATCCATCCATCCATCCATCCATCCATCCATCCATTCACTTATTGGTTTATTTATTCAACAAAGGCTTCCCAAGGGCTTACTAAGAATCAGGCCCTTGGTGAGTGGCTGGAGACACAGAAATGAATCCGACAGAGTCCCTCCTGGGAGCAGCTCACGGTGCCAGGAGGAGGAGAGACGCACAACAGAGGGCTGTGACCATGTGGCCCATGTCCCTCCATTCACTCAACACACCTTGACTGAGGTGCAGCCCGGCGCCAGGCCAGGCGCTGTCCCAGGCAGCGATGCCCATCCTCATGGAGCTTCCATTCCCGGGGGCAGGACAGATCCTATAACAAGACACGTGAGTCAATGACACGGTGCATTCGAAGGTGACAGGTGCTGTGGGAAAAACCGTGACGATGGGGAGGGGGGACTAGGGTGGTGGCGGAGCTGGGGAGACGGCAGGTTTTAGAAAGATGGTTCTGGAAGGCCTCCCTGGAAGGGGGGCATCTGAGCAAAGACTGGGAGGGTGGGAGAAGCTAAGCCTTGTGGACGGCGGGGCTGGGGTCACAGTCGTGGAAGACGCAGGCGTCTGTGGGAACCAGGAAAGGGCTCCTGACTCCCCTGCAGCAGGAGGACCAGCGGGGTGAGGAGCAGCCGGAGTGCAGGGTGAGGAGCGTGACGAGGACTGTGACGAGGACTGTGATGGGCGATCTGTCCGGAGAGGTAAATGGGACAAAAGGCGGGATCGGTCCAGTTGCTCAGACTGGATCCTGCTGGCAATGAACTTGCTCTGAGAGGTGGGCTAATGAGATGACGGAGAGGCTAAGATACTGTTCAACGCCCCTGGGTTCAAACTCTGGCTCCACCACTGCTCTGGGACCTTGAGCAAGTCCCCTCAGCTCTCCGAATCTCAGTCTCTCCCCTCTCTGTAAAATGGGGAACATCACAGAACCCCCCTCACAGGATCAAGTGACTTACATTGCCTCTGCATTAGGTACATTGCCTCTGCATTAGGTACGTATTCCTCCGAAAGGGCATGGAGGGGAGTGGGGGGCCCCCTGGGCCCCCCTCACAGCAGGGGGCAATCTGAGACCTCCAGAAGGACGGCTTGCATGTCCTGGACGCCGGTCCCAGAGCAGGATGTTTGTACATAAAGACAATTTGCCTCCTTGTTCGACGCACGATTCCTAAGCACTGGCCACCTTCCCAGCAACGTGTCAGAGATACAGGCGTGATTCTGTGGTCCTGGGTGTGTTCTCTGCTTGTGGGGCGGGTACCACGCCGACCACACAGGCAGGCTCGCACAGAGTGTGTGGGCTCAGGGGGCAGCGCTGGACCCCGGAGAAACCTAGAATGCCAGAGAGGGCAGCAACGGCAAGGGTCTGTTCACGGCCACACCCGGACAGTTTCTCAAAAATGTGTCTCTGGCCCCTGTCCGGAGCCAGTGATTCTGAAAATCTAGAGAAAAGGTCTGATAAACTACAATTTGAATGGGTCCCGGCAATTCTAGTTATTAGCAAAACTGGCGAATGCTGGTCCCACACAGCCCCACCCCCTTCTTGCACACAGGAAAGGTGAGGTTCGGGGATTTGCCACGAGGCAGTACGCACAGGAGTGCGTCGCTGGGCGGGGCTGCAGCCAGGGTCCTCGCCTTGCTTCCCTGCTGCACCTGAAATTTCCTAGGGCCTCAAAGTGAAGTGTTGCAAACCAGGGGGCTTCAAAGAACAGAAATGTATTTTCTCCCAGTCTGGAGGCTGGACGTCCGAGGCAGGGCCGTCCTCCCTTCAGGGCCGCAGGTGTGGGCCTGCTCCCTGCCTTTCCCTTGGCTTCCAGGAGCGGCTGGCACTCCTTGGCTTGTGGCTCCGATCATCATGTGGCCTGAGTGTCCCAGGGCACACCCTCTCCAGTGTGACTTTATCTTAACTAATTACATCTGCAATGACCCGATTTCTACATTGGTTCACCTCCAAAGACAGTGGGCATGAGGGTGTCACATCGCCTTCTGGGAAGTCACAGTTCAACCTGTGGCCTCATCCCAGGCTTGTCTGTTACCCGCATGGACACACAGGGTGGGCAAAAGTAGGTTTACACTTGTGAGCACACAAAACGGAGTTTATTGCTGTGACATTGTATATTCATTGCTGTGTTACTTCCCACACAAACAACGGCACACCTACTTTGCCGCCCCCTGTGTTGAATCATTGCGGCCCACCTAATTCTGGGAAGAGCTGAGGAAAACCAATAAAACAGGACTAATATTGTCAGAAATCGCCCTGACTGGCATGGCTCAGCTGAGCTGGGCGTCATCCCTCAAACTAAAAGTTCTTCAGTTCAATTCCTGCCACGTCCTCTTCCAACCGTGTTGTCTGACAAAGTCCGGGCATGGAGGACTCGAGTTCAAAGAATTCGTCTCCCCAGAAGAGAACGTGGCATCCAAAATGGGTTAACAATTGGCTGTTTTATTTTCATTATTTTACTCTTGCTACTGAGTATGGACATTGTACTGTACTTACTTATTCCTGTGAAAATCACCCAAGAGGAGGGAACAGTTCAGGGGAAAACATTAGTATTCCCCACGGAACTGCCTGAAAGGATGGAAAAATCCCCACAGACTCCCCTCTCCCTTGTACAGGGGAGTACGACAGCCAGGGCGATATAATCATTAACCATAAGGGAAAACATGTCAAGTTGTACAAATTACCCTGGTTTGAGCAACTTAAGGCGACCAGGACTGCCATAGTGTGCCAGAAATAAGAAAAACAAGTTATGTGTTTGTTTGGGTAATCGAAAGGTGGTGGAATTGTTAGACATTTATATTTCAGGTTCATTGATTCGCATAATTCCAATGAAGTTGTACAAAATAATTTCTGACCAGAGAACAAAGTTCCCTCTAATGAAATAGCCCCTGAATGTCTAAAAGTTGTTGGAGTAGCAGCCCCTCCTTTACCTCGAACAGGAATATATATTAATTAGAATTTAGTAGACATAGAAACAGGAGAAGCTTGTTAGATACAAACACGTAGATACGATTACCAAGGAGTTAGAGTCCACAGAACATACAGAAACATTTTGGACAGAAAGATAAATAGCTAAGACATCACAAAGGCCTTATAATAAATTTCCTAACCTCTGCTCGGTCTAACGTACCTTTTGCCCCATGCCAAATTTTAGACCTTTAATAAACAATAAAATATTCAAACTCTGTACACAGAGTTATTTCAAATTGTCTGATTAATGGTTCTCCTGGTCAAAACAATTTTTGTATAATATAATTGAAACTATGGAAATTCTTGTACTTTTCCTGGTTACCTTTGTATTGATTTTTTTCTGCTTAACTGATCATGCTATACACCTGCAAATGTTAGTCACTACCTAAAATGAAAATATAAAAACCTGCTTGTACTTGCAATAAACGGAACAGAGCTTCACTGTCCTTTGAGGCGTGTTGTCATCTGTTACCCAGCGCCGACGCCTACCCTCACCTGTGGGACCCCTTGACCCGCTGTGGCCGGACAGCGGCAGATTCCCAGTCAGGGCGCATGCCTGGGTGGCGGGTTCAGTCCCCAGTCAGGGTGCACAAGAGAGGCAACCAGCTGATGTTTCTCTCTGACGTCGATGTTTCTCTCCCTCCCTTTCTCCCTCCCTTCCCTTCTTTCTAACAAATACATAAATAATTTTTAAAAAGGAAGGGAAGAAATAAGTCACGACAAGGAAACCACAGCGTGGAGGAGGGGACGAGCGTGGCAGTCACTCGGGGTACAGGTGGCGTGTGCCTCTGAGGGCATCGTGTCTCCGAGTGGCCGGCTCCTGGCTGCCCCCGGGAACTTCCCACATGCGGGCGATCTTTACAGGGGTGCAGCTGCGGTGCTCAGAGAGGCGTCTGCGGGCAGAGCCGGAGCTGGCGCTGGTGGGGCACGTGTTCTGCGCCTTCTGGGCCCAGAGATGTGGCTCCCCAGGCCCGTCTCACGGGCTGTCGTGGAAAATCAGCAAGCCGTGCAAATTACCTAATACCGGGAACCAATAACGTTTTTTGTCGAGCTCTACCATTTACAAAACTCTGTCACATTTATTATCAGAAATAATCGTCCCGGGAATTCTGTGGGGTGGATGAGGCCACGCTTCACACTTACAATGAGAAGACCGAAGGGTGGACAGGTAACTCCCGGTCACGCTCTGAGTCCTGAGTGAGTCACAACCGGGCCAGGTGCCCTGGTTCTCCGCCCAGGACTCCTCCCACTTGTCCCGCGACAGCGAGGCTCTCCCACCTGCAGTTTCCAAAGCCAGTCCATCAGTCAGTCTCTCCATTTGTCTGTCAGTCAGCACTTAGGTAAATACACGGCCATTGTCAATGTAAAGACATTGTTTATTGTGTTCCACTTGAGGTCACATGATCTCATCCGGTTCCAACAACAACCTGTGACACAGCCTTGGCCAGTACCGCCTTCGAGGCTAGGTGGCTGGGAAAGGTCAAAGCCACCACCACCCCAGCCAGGGGGCGTCTACAGGCAGGACCCTGGGAAGAGACGCCAGAAAGAGCAGAGGTCACCCCCTTGAAAGGATAACGCCAGCCCCAGTTGCTATTGTGGTGCCTTTGGCTGAGCCGTCCTGTGACCTTGTCAGACATGACGGCCATCTTACTCTTCTGAGTTTATGTCCCCAGGACTGGAAATTACTGGGAAACAAGAAGAGAACAAAACACTCCCTACAGCCACAGGTGGCAGAAGACCCAGGAACAGCCTGCGGCCTCCTGGCAGAGTGCTCCGACAGCCCGGGCCACACAATGGCAACCGCCCCTTTTATTCCAATTATAATCCAATAAAAGCTCAAAGCACCCCTCCCCACCCCCAACCCCAATGCTGGCGTATCCCTCCACACCATGCCCCTGTCCTTTCTTGGAGAGAGAGTAAAAACTTTATTCTTTACACTTTCTTCTCTTTGTGAATTCCTTCACAGCCCACATCACTAACCACCCTAACATGCCTGACGCCCATTCCCAGCTTTGACCTCCTGTCCTGCTAGGCAAGAAAGACCACAGAGTACACTGGGTGGACTGAATGGCAAGGATCACCGAAAGGCGTTGAAGAGAAGCCGCTGCAATGAGTCAGCGGGGTTACGTGGCTGCGCTGGACTTCGGTTCCCAAGCAAAGGTGGAAATGTACACGGATTAAGTGTGTCCAGTAACAGCCGCTTGTTATTTTTAGACGCTCACATAAAACTCCGGCATTCATCCCCCTTAATCACCCTGAAAGAATCTGTTTGCGAAATGGATACACTGAGCCTGAGAGGGTGAGTGGCTTGCCAGCTGCCAGACCACCCTGCCGCTTTTACGCACAGACTCTGGCCAAGGGCGTCCCTCGATGGACGGAGGTTTTCTTCCCCCTGCAAGCTCTCTGTGGTCACCAAGCACCTACTGCGACGAGGCTGTGGGCACCACGGGGAACGCGCAGGTGTGGGGTTTTCAGACGGTCTCAGCAGGGCCTTCTGGGCAGCAAATACTGGAGGCTCTAGGTGTGGGAACTACTCACTGTCTTGCAATCTGCCTGAGCACAAAGCTGCGTCTTCTGCCAGACGCACCCTCAAACCACATTGCTGGACTGGGCGTTCGTCTGGCCTCTCTGACTCCTTCCTTCCTGTCCCAGGGAACCAGGCTGGACATGCTCAGAGAAGCCTCAACTTCTGCATCGAGCACAGAGTTCACAAGGAGCCCTGGTGTGCCCAGAACTGCAGCTCTGTGCCCCTCGCTGCCTTGGGTGGCCACTGGCTCAGCACCTCCCACGTGTCAAAGTGCCCCTGCCTGGCACCGGCTGGCCGGCATCCTCCCGGTCTCCACTGCCCGGCTGACGGCAGAGTGTCTCCCTCCAGAGCGTGGTCTTGACCTTTGTAAATGGGTGGCTCGTTACTGCCCTGCCTAAGGCCAGGGCCAGGGAGGCCGATGAGAACAGGCGCCTCCCAGGCCCACCCCCTGGGATGCTGGTGTGCTGGGTCTGGGATGGGGCGGGGCAGCTGAAACTTAGCACATGCTGAGCCCACCCTACCCCTGCCCATGCTGATCCGCAGCCTTCAGACAAACCACTGGGCTTTCCAGTGCTCCCACACTTCAGCCTCAACTCGCCGCTAGCCATACGTCACTTCTATAAATAACTTCGAGTTATTTATATTTTTTACCTCGCTTTGCCTGAAGCCAGCGGAGCTCCGCCTGGCTGTTGATTCATGCTCCCAAAGCCAGGCTCCTGTCTGGGCTGGATCGTTTTTAAAGCTCTGTGGACAATTTTAAGCAATGATGTGCATGAAACTGAATAGACATTAACATGCAGGCACAAAAAGTGAAATCAGCAGGCTCAGCCACGAACAGCTAGGAACCGTCCGGGGTTCCGTGCTCTGAAACACCCCCGACTGGCTGGGAAGACCCTCCCGGTCTTTCGGGTCCACGTCGAGAAAGACACAGACTTCCTCTCAGAGTCTGTCACACGCACTAGACCCTCTCGGGCCACTTCACATGTGATCTTGCGACCTGCCACAGCACCCTGAGGCAGGAGGTCATTATCAGGCCTGTTTTACAGATTTGCACACTGAGCCTTAGAAGGCTCCCAAAGGCTGATTCCTGTAGCATTAGAAAGTTACTTGGATGGAATTCAACTCCAGCTACTGTGCCCCATGTCGGGGGCAGAGAACTGGCAGGCGCCCCTTCCAGTAGGTCAGACTGCAGGGTGACAGGACTCTGAGAAGGTACCAGTCGGTATCGTCTGCTAAGAAGGGAATTCCCAGAGGACTGGTGGAGGGGGTCAAGGGCATTTGCACAAGCTGCCTGGTTTTCCCACGCTTGCCCCTGTCATTAACTCCTGCTTTCTGCTCAGATTAGAAAAAGGAATAAAGCTTCAAGACTATCAGAGAAGCTAAGCTTTAATCAGCATCATAACTACTTGGTCATCCATCGTGTCTGGGTAACAGCTGCCCGGCCACGCCTAATTGCAGGAGGTCTTGCACAGTTTGAAAACAGGCTGCATAGTTTACGGATCCAATCTAATTAGCTTCAAATTTCCTGACCAGCCAAAGAGCCAAGAGCTGCACCCGTGTCCTCTAAAGCAGGGCAGGGGCCTCTCTGCTCAGTCTGTGCAGGCTGACGCTCCCAGGGGACTCCAAAGTGGCTGGGTGCCAGGGGGCGAATCAGACACGGAGCGCTTGCATGGATGTTTAGGTGCAGTTATGGAAAACTCGAGACAGGGCATACGGAAGGTGGCAGTATGAGGAGATTCTCGCCTAACCGAAGACAGAGAGTTCACCTGACCTCATACCTGTGAACTGGGGGTGGGGGATTGGTCCAGGTGGAGGTAGGAAAAGGCCTGGGCTCGGTTTTCCAGGCCCCTGATCAGTCGGCTGGGGCCAGGGTCTTAGTCCATACTCTCTTCTTTCCTCTTGAAATGCAGCACCCATGCCCTTCCTCCCCCGCCCCCCAACCCCGTCACTCCTCACACCAATCCCCAGCCAACATACCCTCCTTCCCGACCCTCTGGCTTTCCCACAGGGCCGTGAACCACACCCAGCACCCCAGGCTCATTCAGGGGCACTTAACGGAATCCCTAACGGGAGCAGAGGCACAATCCAGCAATTAGGAAACTTTGATGGCGATAAATTATTGATTACAGATGTTACCCCTCCAACAGCCCTGAGTGGGGGGAACACAGTTTTCACCCACATTTTACAATGAGAAAACCGCAGCCAAGAGCAGTTCGATGACGCATCCAGAACGTGGGTCGCAGGGAGCAGAGCAGGGGCTCAGCTGAGCGGGCGGCCTCACTTCGCGGCCTCCCAGACCTGCCCAGCCGGGCTCCTGCTCCAGCTGCTGGCCTTGGGCAGGCTACTCCACCTCTGGTTTTCTCTCTCTCCACTGAGGCCATAAACATCCTGCTTGCTTCACAGGGTTGCTGTGAGGATGAACTAACATCAACACGAAAAACCCTTCAAATGCCTGGCCCATGGGCTTAACTTACGTCAGGTGTCATTTTTCTAGTAAGAATGTTTGTTACAAGCAGCCCCACGGGGGCTTAGTTAAGATCCTTAACTAACAGTCAGAATTCTAGAAGGTCTAACTGAGTCCTCCCCCCACACCTGCTGACCTCTGTTTTCGTAACAGAAAAGCCGACCTTTCTGCGGCTTTTCTCTAGAAAGGAAGGAGGAAGAAATACAAGACGGAAGGACAGTCAGTAGTGATGGGAGAAGGACTTTCCACGCTCCCCCCTCTCATTTCTCATCGTGAAGGGGGTGGTCTAGTGGACACACACATGGCCGGAGGGGCCTGGAAGGAGGGGTGTTGGACTCCAAGTCTTGCCGTTCGAAGCAGCATGGCCTTGACCAAGTAACTTAACCTCACAAGCTTCCGTTTGCTCAGTTGTAAAACAGACGGGAAGACGGTGCCAGCTTCGCTGGACTGGCAGGCAAGGAACACTGACGGCTGACGCAGAGCGTGACAGGAGGTCGGAGACCTGGACGGCCTTCAGCAGCCCTGCAATGCAGCAGGGATGCACCGATTCACATCCTCTGTCCCCTCTGCCCTCACCGCCTGTGGGAAGGTGCGTGCAGCTCCCATACCCAGAAGCAGAGTTATCAGGTCTTAAACGACGACTTGGGAAAGACTGCACCAAAGATGACCAGTCAGAGAGCAGTCCGGACCTCGGCTCTCCCAGCTTCCCCACCGAGCCTATCAGATTGCTCCCAGAACTAAAAACTACAGCTGCAGGCCACAAAAGCAGGACAGCTACTCACCTCCTCTGGTCCCACGCTAAGACTCGGAGCCAGGACTCCCGGGTGAGGAGCGTAGTCCAAGCCGCACGCGCGAGGGCTGGGCTCCTCCTGGTCCTACCTCCGGGGCTGACTGGCTGGCTTCTCAGGATTCCTCGAAGCTCCCTGGCCTTTTCGGTCACATTTCCCCCAGCCAGTTTTTCCAGTCCTTCAAGCCTATTCCCTGTTGCCCTGTTAGGCAACTTCCTGATTTGACTTCCTGATTTCAGCGCAACCCTCCTTCTGCCAAGGGGTGAGACCTTAATTTCCTGAGTGACTAAGTGTTTCCCCCTCCAAACCCAGGGTCTGTCTGCCTTGGCTCTGTTACATTTCTGGCCGGCTGCTCCTGGTGCTGGGCGCTGTCCGTCCTGTGCATTGGGGGCTGGCTGCAGCATCCCGGGCTCTACCCGCTGGGTGCCAGCGGCCAGCCCACCACTCCTCCCTCACCCTATCCCGACAACCAAAAATGTCCCCAGAACGGCCAACGGTCCCCTAGTGGGGCACACCTCCCTCCCCATGCCACTGTCCTCATTCCACAGAGTCCTGTCCCTGGCTGTGGACTAACCTCAGGCAGCTGTATCTCCATCCCTGTGACTCTGCTGTGGTTGGAACTGGTGATCTGGACTGGCCTCCCCTGGCCTGAGAGTCCTGTGCTCATGGCCACCCACTCTCTGGTCATGGACAGAAGAACGAGAGTCGGATGCTTTATATGCAGCCGCATCCAACAAGGGGCTGGTTTTGACCATGGCTTTGTATTAGGGATCTCCAGAAGAATGGAACTCATAGGATGTGTGAATGTATAAAAAGAGATTTATTTTAAGGAGTTGGCTCACATAATTCATGGTGACACAAGTCCCAAAATATGCAGGGCAGGGCCGCAGGCCTAAGACCCAGGGCAGAGGCGCAGTGAGTCCAAAGGCTGTCTGCAGGGGAATTCCTTCTTGATTCAGGAAAGCTAGTTGTTTTTCTGTTCTGGACATCAACTGATTAGACGAGGCCCACCCACATTAGGGAAGGCAATCTGCTTTACTCGAAGCGCACAGATTTAAATGTTGATCGCATCCACAAAACACCTCTGCCAAAACGCCCAGAATAATGTTCGAGCAAATACCTATGGAACCGTGCCCAGCCAAGCTGACACATACAGTGAATCACCACGGGCAGTGACAACGAATGTATGATGACGAGGAGGAGGTGAGGCCTGGCTTCTGTGGTTGTTGTCTGAAAGGTCCATGCTGCCGATGCCACCCGCAGTGGCTCTCTGCCCTGGTCATAACAATGACCTTGAAGAGATATGGGTGTCACAGACACCCTTGAAGAGGCAGCTCCATTTGGTGTGAGGTGGGCTCAGGCACTGAGGCACTGTCAGAGACCCTTGGGGAGTCCTCCCCTGCCGCTGGGTTGAGAGCCTCCAGGCTGAGGACTGACCAGCGTGATGAGCCCAGGCCTCGCAGGGGGCGGACTGGGCTGGAGCCCCGCCTCCCTTCCAGTAAGTTGTGGGGTGTTGGGGCTGCCTCTGCCTCCCTCAGCCTGCGGAGCGGGGTGAACAGAAAACACTTGGAAAGCACCCAGCACGGGAGGGAGGTGACACAGCACATGTCACATGTGAACACGTGCCTGTTCCCACCGCCCACACGGAATGAACCACCTGGTGCCCCTGCCCTGTCGTTTCTGGTTCCCATCAAACGCTAATAACAACTCTGCTTCACCTCCTCCTCATTGAGCCGTGAGACAGACACGGTGCTAAAAGCAGGCATTATTTCCTCTTCACCACGACCCGATGAGCAACAGTCTGTGCCAGCTCCGGGCTCGAAATAAAAAAGCGGAGGCCCAGACGAGTTAAGAGACTTGCCCCAGGCGGATGCCGACAGCCTGGGATTTGCCAGATGCCGGGGAAGGTTAAAGCTTTTTCAGTACCTTGCTTCCTGAAGACAAAGCCAGAGTTATGGCCGCAGGGAGGGAGGAAGCCCCCAATGCCCGTGTCCAGATGTCACCGTTGTGCACCTGGACAACCTCAATGAAAATACATGGCTAAGAATTAGTCTGGGAGTTTAGGAAAGACTTGGCCCGTGTCCCAAACTCAGTCACGTGCCTAGAGAAGAGCCAGCCAGTGGAAGTCGTGTTTGAGAGTGAAGAACTCGTTCACAACGCGCAGATGCGCACGCAACTCCTGGGACCGCACTTGGCACCGGAAGTGCGGTGTGGGGGCGTGGCCCGCAAGCTTCACGGAGGACGTGGCCATTGCAGGGACGCAGGGCGCACGTGGCAGGCGCTACAAAAACGCGGATTCTTTGCAAAGCGGTTATAGGTTTAAATGAGTCCTTCCGTTTTTCAAATCAAGATCAGGCGTTGAAGTGATTTCTAAACACTTTCAAAAAGTTCAGTGTGTAATACACACAGTGACTTCCGAGTCACTTCCAATACCTGAGAAGTCAGGCGGTGCTCCCGGGCTCCGAGTCGGGCGCAGCACTCATCACGGACTCCACCGCCTCCACCGCCGCGGGCAGCGAGAGCCTTTCCACTGGGCGGCACCTGGGCACATCCATCATCAAGCTAATTTATCCAAAAGGAAAAAAAATGGCTTCATGGTTTAAAATTTTTTAATGGTGAAACATACCATAGGTTTTTAAATATCTATAAAACATATAGATCCAGGGTCCAGCAGAAGTAAGCTGCTTGAGTGTGGTGGGTAGGGTAATAACATGGGTGTAATGTTACAGTTTTAATGTGAACATGTCACCTATAATGTCATAGGGCGTGCTTAAGTGTGACATTGTTATGTTACAGAGTTACATGCTTATGATTTTGTAATAAAAAAGGTCGGGCCCTGTATCATGTAAACACATATTTGTATTATATGTTCTATAACTATTCTACAGAAATGTTTACATTTATTCTATAATATTAGTTATATACTGTACAATATTATACATTTATGTAGCTATCATATTTTACAAAAACATTTACATGTTATGTAATTATAATTTATATGTAATCTGATCTTTACACACACACACACACACACACTAACAGATAATTGAATAAACACCCGTGTAACTACCTTGGCACACTGTTCAGGAGGCCCCAGGACCTGGCTTTCCTGTGCTGTGTGGGCAGAGCCCGTGACCTGCTTCTGGACACAGAGAATACAGTGAAGGGGAGGGCTGCACGTGATTGCACATGTGCAGCGACCTCGTGTAAGCGTGGAGCACCTGCAACGTGCCCTGCCGGGAGCTCCTGGGGGACAGGGCCCCGAGTCCGGCCCAAGGCCCTCCGTCCTGCGTGCTGCCTGCAGCCACGTGACGCAGTCAGGGACACAGCCTGCCCCGGCTGAGCCTCCAGCCTTGACCCTCACCATGCACAGGACACAGCCAAGCGGCCCAGAGTCCTGAGCCACAGAAACCAGGAGACATAACCATGCATTTTTTTAAGCTGCCAGGTTTTTTGTAATATTGTAACTGCCCAATAGATAACATACCACTGCCCACACTGCCAATGCCCCAGCATCATCCCCCAGGCACTCGCCCTGCTCACCTCTGCCGCCCTGCTGTGCAGGCTGGCAGCAGCCAGTCACCCTTCCAGCTCCCAGTGCGTCCAGGCCCCTGGTTCGGCCTCCACCCAGCCGCACCGCCCAGCCTGGCTGCCCGCTGCTCTCTGCTGTTTTCAGGTGAGTACTACAACTTCTGCTGTTGTCAGGTGAGCACTACAACGGGCACCTCAGCAACTGGTGCCTCAGCAACTGGCCCTCGGCAGGGCCTGGGAAATAGGAGGCGGCCTCCCACGTGGAGGGAGGCGGGGTTACCTCGAGGAGCTCTAGAACCCTGAAAGGGGGGCTGTCACCCCCCCACCCCACCCACCCCAGGCTCCGTCACTCAGCTTCCCCAGCTTGCTCTGCACAACCCGACTGTGTTGGATGGACGGAATCCCTGGCTAGGTGCTTCCCCAGTACTCAACGGACGCCAGGAAACATGTCCCGCCTATCTCCTCTCCAAGGGCAGCACAGACCCCAAGCGGACTGGGGTGTCTGGTTCATAGAGAATCGATGAATACGAGTGAATAAATGATTGGAGTGGGCTTTGTTGAATCATATGAAAAAGGCAGGTAACTCATCTTTACTCAAGAGAACAATGCTGGAAGGATCTCAGTTGTAACCTTCTTCCAGCACAGCCCCCCCCCCCCCGCCACCATCCAAATAAAAGGGCCCTCTGGTCTGAACTGCCAGTGCCTGGGGATACTTCTGGCGGTCACCATGGGGCAGCAGGTACTCCTGGCACTGAAATGTGCAGAAGACATGGGCACAGCCCAACCACGTGCAAGAGGCAGCTGCCACAGCAGAGGGTCATCCCACCCATCACCACTGGGGCTGAGGGGTCGGAGCCTGATGTGAGGAAGTGGCAGCCAGGGGGGTCGGTCAGAAAACTGCACTCACAGAAGTCCAAGACTTTGTGGAAAATACAGGTTTTTATATCAGAACATCAGGTTGCAACTGTTCACCCCCACAGAAGGAAGGAGTCTCTGAAAGAACCCCGGGTGACAGTGGACCTGGCCTTGGGTATGTTCCAGGCTGGTACAACCCAAGTCCGCTTTGCCTCTCCAGCCTGGAGGGCTGCCTGCTCCAGGGGGCCTACCCTGATTTTCCTCCAGTTCCCCCCACCCGGCTCCTGTTGGGACCACCATTTGTGGCGTGTCACTGCTAGGTGGGTAGTCACGGTATCCTCCACCACAGTGGTAGCTGTCACGTGCACGTGTAATTTGCCAATAGCCTCTTACACTACAATGTAGTATAATGCACTAATGTAAGTGGGATAATGGCTCATTCCGTTTATTGTGGGCCAGCCTGTCTCAGGGCTTCCCCGGAGCATCCCCTGCCCTCCTCGCAGTCTGATGAGCCGCGCCATCATCCTCCCCCTCAGATACAGACATCGCAGCGCTCTGCCCACTCTCTCTACACCCACGTGACTGTCAGGAAAGGCTCCAACTGTACCAATCGACAAATCTCGGTGGACCGACGGAAGAGATCACAAAGGCTGAGGCGAGGCGGCCCAGGTGACGCAGGGATTTGGTGGCTGCTGGCATGGGAACAAGACCCAGGAGTCTCGGGCCCTTCCCCAGGGCCTCTCGCATGGAAAGGCAGACCTCACCACCCCAGTGCCCGAATGTCTCCTGGACCACACGCCCAGCCCCCAGGTGCCCCACCAGTCAGCCATCCCCAGTAAAGAGAAAAGATATTTAATCATCTCGGTCTGATCCTGTAAAGCGCTCAAAGTGTGTTCCCAAGTGCGGGGGGCTGCTCTCCGCCGGCACCGACCAGTGATTCCGACACACGCAAGAAAACTCCAGATCACCGTGCTTTATACTTACTTTTAATTTCTGCACTGAAAACGAAAAGGTGAAAATGACAGGTTACAGTGGCTTCTTTACCTTTAAATTAACCTCTGCTCTTGGGGACAGGAGGGGTAAGACAGAAAAACACCAAAGGGTGACGGTAAAATGGGGACAGGACACCTCAGTCTGGCTAACAGGGGCTCAAACACCCTGGAGACAGTGCCCGCAACCCAGTAGCTTGTAAACAATGACGAGCAACAGTTAAGACACATTAAAAAGAAAAAAAACCCCTCACGGTTCCATTCTTCAAACCAAGCACAAAAACTAACAGTGAAACACACGGTCACACGTGTGCCCGTCTGCTCTGAGGCTTTCTGGAGGTGACCATGGGGCGTGGCTCACGCTCCGGGACCACGTGACACAGGCCACACTGAGCCCGGGCCTCACTGAGCTGCAGGTGTGCCCTCCCCTCCCCGCGCGGCCTCCGCCTGCAGGTGGGCCTGGGAGAGCCCACCTCCGTCGACAGATGGCAGGAGCCACGGGAGCGGTCTGTGTGCTTTTGAGGCTCTGCCTCTGGAATGTTCCGCACTCGGGCTGCGCTGGGGCTGGGTTTGAGTTATGCTCCACACACTGTTTAAGTGCTCACTTTATTTTTCATGTGCAAACTGTCACTGTCTAAAGCTTTCAGAAGGACGTGGATAGATACGAACACCCTGCAGAGACGGGGGCTGTCGGGAGTTAGGGCCCCCCCTCGAGTGGGGCAGGGGGCGGGGGCGTTACAGAAACATTTAGAGGAACGCTGTGTTCTGCTGCGGTGAAAACTAGTCCCTGATTCGGTCCGTCTGACGGCGGGTCCTCAGTAGGAGATTGTCCACTCTTTGACAGAGGCGTCGTGCGAGGTGGTGACCAGCGTGTGCTCGTCCAGCCAGGCCAGGCTGCTGACGTGGTGGAGCCGGTGTGCATCTGCGGAGGAGAGACACTTTTTAGGAAAACCCGGCTTTTCTGCTCCTTCCCCCCCGCCGTGGACAGGGACAGTGGAGTGACCTGTGCCGAAACTGGCCGGCCCCAGGCCGCCAAACCCAGCTGCTGTTAGGCGGCCCCATTTCCTCTTCACAGAAGGACCAGAGTCGGGCACGAGAGGTGAAGGCAGGTGTGCTCTGCGCTGGCACTGGCCACACGGGGCCCTGTCCTCCACAGGACAGTCCCACCCAGGGCAGAAGCCACGGGGAACAACACAGCCTGTGACAAGAGCTACTGCCACGGTGTGAAAATGACATGCTGGGTTAAAGAAAACTGACCACTTCTTTTTCAAACGTGGCTGCTAGAGAAACATCGAGTCCACGTGTGGCTTGCACGCGGCATCTAGACGCTGCTACAGCTGAGAGGCCAGACGGCCAAGGTCGGAATGAATGTTACTGCTCTCCCAAAGTTGGTTGAAAACCCAATTTAGCACAAGGGGACACTGAGAAGTTCAGGTCATGGACAGGAGCAGTGCTCTTGTGAAGGAGATCCCATAGACCCCCTGACGCCGTGCGGATACCTGAGGAGTCTGCAATGTGGAGGAGGCCCTCACTGACAGGGAACCGATCCACGTGGCAGTGGGGAATGCAGTCCGACTGGATTAGGAAAGCCAGGGGGAGCGAGGCGGCACACAGGACCCAGGCCCACAGATTGGCTCTCCCGGGGGGAACCAGGCCTGCTTTGTACCCAGGCTGCTTTGAGGTTTGCTTTTGCTAAAACTCCCTCACTGTGAATTGCAGAAAATGTTTACTCCATGTCTTTAAAGTAACTTCCTAAAGTCTGTGCTAATCCTCCAAGGACTGAGTGCAACCAGCTTCACCGATTTCCCCCTCAAATTTGCAACGTTCTTTTCTTTGAAATAATCAGCAACATCCTTTTCTGTTATCTGTAAAAGGTAATCACCTACAGCAAACCTGTGCATAAGAAATGAGGATCATCCTGGATGAAACGTGCCCAGAAAAGCAGTAAAAGCCTGTCCAGGCAGGGGTCGGGGGTCCTCTCTCACTCAGAGTGACTATGCCGTCCCTTTTTCTGCAGTCCGTGTGAAATTCTTTGCTGCACCCACAACACAGTGGACACCGCTGGCCAGAGTCCACATCACTCACTAACCACGCTGGCACTCTGACCCTGATGCCTTCCAGCCTCTAGGACTATGAGCAACTAATTTCTGTCCCATGTAAGCCACCTTGTGCATGGGATTCTGTCACAAGGGGCAGAATGGACAGACAGAGAGGTCAAGAGTAGCCCCTTCATGTCCCGTGTACGGAGACCACCTGCTCTTGCACTGGGACCCCTCAATCCCTGCAAGGGCCCAGCATGGAGCTACAGAGCCTGGGGTGTGATGAAGAAGACAGACACACGCCTTCACCGGGTGGCCTCCCCGAAAGACAGAAAGGTCCCTGCGGCCCTGGGGCCAAGCTGCCTGGAAGCCAAGACAGGTGTAAGAGAGTCACCTTGGATCTTGACCCTGGTCTCGGGGTCACTCAGGGTCCAGACGTACACCATCATGTCCATGCCACCGGAGGCGAAGTGCTCGTTGTCTGGGGACCAGGCCAGGCAGACGATCTTGGCGTGGTGCCCGTAAAACACGTTGGTCTCCTGGTCGTGGGTGACAGCAGGGGTGGCGGGTCAGACTCAGCCCAGGGAGACGCGCCCTCTCGCCAACCCCCTTGCTGACTGACAGTGTGTGCCAGGCAATGCCCCCCACCCCCAGCTTCCCCTAAAAGCCCAGGAGGCCCCTGCTACTCAAAGGTGTGGCCTGGCATCAAGAACCAGCCCCCACCCCCCAGAGTCCCCTGGACAGTGCTGACCACGCTGGCCGCCCTCAGACCTCTCAGTCTAGTGAGAGGACGGACGGAAATGCTGACCACGGAAGCATGGAGATGGGGCAGTGCGAGGAGGTCCCTCCTGTCCTCCCTCCGCAGGGGGACTGGGTGGCCTGGGCCCAGCCCTAGGCTCTGCACATGGCCACACAGAGTGCGCCCCAGCCTGGAAGCTCTGTCTCTGAGGGGTTTCTCATTCTTCACCCCCAGAAAAGGTCAGCTTGGCCACGGCGGTCTCTCTCCAGTCTGCCTGTTCCAGCCCTGGTGCATCCTATGCTTGAAGATGGCTCAGTATGTCTTAGAACGAGGCTCATCACAGGAAAATGGAACCACTTAAGTGTGACCCACCCGTACAGAGCCAGGAGGTCTGGGCTACAGGCAAACTCGAGTGAACGTGTGCTCGCATTCACGGCGCTTGTCACCTGACGTGAATTCTACAGCCAGAGGCAGCTACTGAGCTCTGGTCCACCGCCCGCAGGCTGACGTGTTGAGAGGAAACACAGATGGCCTGAAACTCACGGTGGACACACCAGAATCCAGGTTACTGGATGAGGTGATATGGCATCGCCAACGGGAGCACCTGGATGGTGCGTTCCTTCGACTCTGCTGCAGGGTTCACACCTGTCACAACCACTGGTGGGGGGGGACGGACTGGAGACCATCCCTGTCTTGCACTGCCTGCGCCTGTCCCTCAGCGGGCTCAGGACTGAACCCTGCCAAGTGCACAGCTCCTGCCCTCACGTGTGTGCGGCTGCTTCCCACGCCCACTCGGAGCAAGTCAGCCCCCAGGTGCCTCGGTCCCTGGGCCCTCCCTCCCCGAGCCGCCTCGCAGAGTGCCCCAGCCGCAAGGTGATGGACGACCCACGCTCTCCCGTCCGGGACTTCACACAGCAAAGAGGACCAAGATCGAGCCCAGCCCTTTGCCCAAAGAGAAACAGGGCCCAGAGAAGCAGGCCTCCCGGCCGAGCCCCTCTGCTGGCTCAGCTCCTCAGCCACTGTCGGCAGCTCCCCGAATTTCTGGCAACCATGACCGAGCTCTCCAACCAGACCTCTAGCTCCTGGGCAGAAGGGTTGTGTTCCATGTCATTCATGCTCTAAGAGCAAGGAAGTCACGTGGTCTCCTGCTTCCACCTGATCAGTGACAACAGAAGGAAAAGCCACGGCCTCCACTGGCCACCTGCACAGCCTGGAATGGGGACAGACAGGGACAGACGGCCCACTCACCGAGTAGCCATCAGCAACGCTGAAGACCGTGACCACCTTGCTGGCGTCGCACACGGCGAGGAAGGCGCCATCATGGGAATACGCCACATCAGTCACGGGGCCCTTGGCCTCCAGGAGCTTGCCCTCGTCCTTCAGCGTGGTGCCCAGGATGGAGTACAGGCGGACGTTCCCGTCCTGCAGGGGACAGCGATGGGGGCAGGGGCAGTGAGCCACTCCCCTGGCACTTAATGTATACTCGCGCGCACACACACAGAGCTTAGGGAGATGAGCCAAGTGAGGGACGCCGGGTACCTCTGATTCTGATTCTGTCTGTCTGGGTGCTCTGGACTCTGCATATCTTACAAACAGTCCAGAAAGTTCTGGTGCAGGGGCTCCCAGGCCAAGCTTTGAGAAACATCTACACTCACCAGCTCTCTGTACCCTGCCCCCAGGACACCTGGCTGCCTCTGGAGGAACCTCCCTCCGTCCTGCAAGTCAGTCGCCCATCCTTGTGCTGGCCCAGCCACCTCTTCTCAGAGAAGGCACACCGGCTCTTTCAAAGGGCTTATGCTGCCACTCCGCCCAGTGGCTGTCCCCAAGCCACCAGGGAACCTGGGTCAGGCATGCCCATGGCCGACCTCTGCCCAGCTCCCATCGGCTGTAGCCTCCAGAGGGACCAATGTTGATGGTTCCATCTGTGGTGAGGGAGCCTGACCAGGGTGGGTGCACCTTGAGCACGCCCCCTTCCAGGCAGGGAGCCCTCGATTTCACGGCCCCGGGGCCTGGCACCAAGCAGTCTACCACACAGGATGGAGCGAGAAGGGAAGAGCAGTGACAGGGTAGGTGGTGTCCCTGCAGCCAGCCGCCCAAGGCTGCCCAGGAGCACACCAGGGACCAGCCGCAACCTTAAGACAGCCGAGCTGCCCGTGTGCCAGAGACAGCTCAGGGGCTCCTGGCGAGGTCCCAAATGCCCCATCCTTGGTGTCCTGTGCCGTGTGCACAGGACCAGAACGAGCATCGCCAGGGGCTGGGCCACCCCCAAGGACTGGGGGTCACCACAGAGGCTGCCGCTTGGGCAGCAGGAGGTACCCCAAGCTGGCTTCCAGGGGCCGAGGCCCACCTCTCTCCTGTTTACCCAAGACAGCCCCACAGCCAAACACCCAAGGCAGAGGGCAGGGTGGGGGGAGTCTTACCGCGCCCCCGACAGCCACCATGTCCCCGCCGGGGTGCACCGCCACCACCTCGGGCTCGTAGCTGAGGTTGTCGATGCTGGAGCACTTCTTCTGATTCTTCAGCAGGACGATCTGGGAAAACGCAGCAGCCGGTCAGACCTGGGGGCCCGGGGATGCGCAGCCCAGGCTGGGCGGGGGCCAGGCCCAGCCCTGTGCCCTGAATGACGTCCTCCCTCATCAGTGAACGCAATGGTGACAGATCTTAGTACCGAGACCACAGTGAACTCGGGCTGCCACTGTCACCCTGTCACCCCCTCACTGCCCCTATCACCACTGCTAGCACCGACTCCTCGAGAAGCTGACTGACATCTGAACTCACGTCCCCGGCTGCACCCCAAGTGCCCTCTGCTGGACCAGCTCCCCGAGGTGCATGAGGACAGAGGCACTTGGGAGTGACGGGGCTCCGAACCAGCCTGGGGACCAGCATGAGGCGTGAGCATTCTCGGTCCTGGTCTCTCGGACCCGAGGACACACCCTTTGTGACCCCGACCTGCCACCTGTGAAACACCGATGTGGTCGGTGCGCGCCTCCACATCCGGGGTGACAGTGCCCACCCATCTCGCGGGGAACGGGAGCCCCCGGCCCACAGGCTCTCTGCGCTCCCACGCAGGCACCTCTCCTGCATGCCCCCCAGCCCTGGTGGGGACAGGCTGAGTCCTCAAGGCAGGCCCAAGGGTCCGGGAGTCTGGGCCCTATCAACGGGCTGGATCCCACCTCAGCCACCACGGCCTCTAGAGACAGCTCGTGCAAGTCTCAGCCTCCCAGGGGACAAGAGCCCAGTGGAACCCAGGCCCTGTGAGGATGAATCCAGGCCCAGGATGAAGCTCCTAATACAAGCAAGCGAAACCGGCGTCTGTGTCCACTCAACTCGAGCCCCGCACCGTGCCGCGGGAGTATGGCCAGAATGGCGCCCCCGGAGTCGGCAGGATCACCTCCCCGTCGTACAGAGGAGGAAACAGGGCAGAGAGAGCACCTACCACGTATCCAAAGACCTACAGCTCAGACCTCACCTGCAAAGGACAAGTGTTCAGACAGAGGCTAGGAAGTGCCCCCTGCTCGGAGTACCCGTCCGCCTGTCCCAGAATGTCCCCTTCCAGTCCCTGCCCCTACGCCACTCAGGTGCTGCAAGCCACTGACTCCTCTGGGCCTCCACTGACCATCCAGGCTGCGTGCAAGGCTTGCCTGGCAGGAAGTCTGTGTTATCTAGGACGCAGAATCCATTTGCCCGAAGCAATTAAGTTCGCAGGATGGGGGAGGAGGGGCTGTGGGTGCTGAATGGCAGCTTTCTTTAGTGGGGTTCATTTCTCCTGCCTGTGGGGTCCGTCATACCTGCCTCCGATGCACAGGCTGGGACCCCAGGCTGACAGATGGCTCCTGCGACAGCAGGATGCTGGATAAAGTGGGTCAGGCTGGGGTCTGTCAAGGGCACTTCACTGCAGAAATTCGGAAAGGGAAGCCATGCAGGGGCCCGAGCCACACTGAGTGAGACCAGGTGGTGGGGCTGAACACGAAACCCAGTCTGGTCCGGCGCCCTGCCTGCGGGCAGCCTGCGGAAGTCCTCACATCACTAAGCTTTAACCTCCTCCTCTAAGAAAGCAGCTCAGATACAAGGAGCTCGCTGCAGGCTGTTGAGATGAGGAAACGGAAGCTCGGGAGGCGAGAAGGCCTGAAGTGACACAGCCCCGCCACTAGAGGGCTGGGGCAGGAACGACGGGAGGTGGGCACGACCCCCTGCCGGGCCACTGGCAGGCCCCGCAGGACAAACACCTGGGTGGCCTGACTTGGGGTGCAGGATCTGCCCAGCTGCCTGGGTTCAAACCCAGCGCTGCCCTGGGCCAGCAGCTTGTCCTCTCTCCATTCCCCGTCTAGAATGAGGCGATGTTGCCTGGAGTGAACAGGACTGATGAAGACCGATAGGGAGTGTGTGTGAAGGCCGTCCCAGGGAAGGCCTGTGGCGCGCAGTAAAGAGGTTTGCTTGAGCTGCATGCGGGGGATGGCAGGGGACTCAGAGCCCGGACGCCACGCACCCACCCGCCCCGTACCTGCCCGATGCACACAACCACCGCGTATCCTCCAGGGCCGACAGCCACGCACTTCGGCTGCACGTCCAGCTTCACGACCCCCTGTCCGCTGTGAGAGAGACGGAGAGTGAGTCATTCCCGCCTCTGTGGGCTCGGGTGGGCAGAACACACTGACCGCAAGGCCACAGCTGCCCCGGCTGTTCAGAGGAGATTCTGCTGCAACCCACAGGGAAGGGGCTTGGACTGGGAGAAAGTCACTGAGCGGGAGCTGGGCCTGGGAACGGGGAGGTGACAGGAACCCAGGGAGTCACTGCCCGGCCACACCCACCACTGCTGGGTCTCCTCCTCTGCCCCCCATTCCCGGGCATCTCCTGGGTGCAGACAGAGCTGAACTCTGCTGCCCCTGCCCCAGGTCAAAACCAGTCTTCTCAGGAGACCACTTAGAAAAATAATCCAATACTTTTAAAGGGTGAAAACTGTGTTATCTTTTAGCTGATACTGATACTGATACACCCTAGGAAAATCTCCAAACGTTTCGGAAAATGTCAAACTGAGGGAAGTTCCATGTGCAGGTCCCGAAGGCTCCGTGACCAGCCTGTGACAAGGTGGGTGGGCCACGGCTCTGCCCTGGGTCCTCTCATTGGCTGAGGCTCAGGGCACCCGAGGGAAGACAGAGCCGCAGCCACCGCGGGGCAGCAGAAAGGTGGGCCCACACAGCGGGGTTGCAGGGTGGCGTCTGCACCCACCCCGAGGCCCAACTGAGCAGACGCAGGCACGCGTGTTCTCTATGGTCGGGTGTTGTGCAGCGTGAGGGCCACCAAGTCACCCTCCCAGAGCCGCCATCTGCACAATTGAAGAGAGCGGCCAGGGAAGGGCCAGTTGGGTGTGGGCGCTGGGGGTGGACTCGGCCCAGGAGCAGGGACCCAGCCCTCTCCCACCTCCTTGCCCTGCACTGAAAACCACAGTGTGACTGTCACAGTAGCCACGGCAGCTCCAGGGACTGTCAACCAACAGCGAGGAGCAGACCCAGTGTGACTGCCTTTCACTCCCATCTCCTGGGCGCCCGCCTGCCCTCGTGGGGCACCTGCCACACGCCAGGCGTCGCTCACAGGCACCTCACCTGACGGGACAGAGCCAAGGGGGGCAGGGGTGACATCTGTGCCACGCGGCCCCTCCGGCAGCCTACACCTGGCCATGCGCCTGCCGCTCACCCGGACTTCACCTCGGCTCCTGGCCGCAGGCCTGGCAAGGAGGATGAGTGCTCAGGACAAGAGGCGGCGAGCAGAGAAGACACTGCGGAGAGTGGTACCCATGACAGGGGCTCACCTGTAGTCCCGCAGCGCGAGGTTGGTGTAGCGCACAGTGTCGTCCATGCTGCAGCTGACCAGCTGCCCGGACTCGTCCACAGTCATCCTGGACACCTGGTTCGTGTGGCCCTTCCCCGTGAAGGAGTCGTTCTCCCCGGTCTCGGAGTCCCAGTAATGTGGGGCCCAGTTATGGAAAAGCCCAACTCCAGAATGGAGGGGTGCCCCCCGCCTTGAAGGGCGAGGGCCAAGCGCTCGTCTGGGGTGGCACGTGAGGGACAGGACAGAGCTCACTGGGCCTGGGGTGAGCTCCTGGTGCACACCCAAGTCTGAATTTCAGAGAGCGATGTCCTGGTAAACCAGCAAGCTGGCCAGCTCGACCGCAAATCCACAGGGACACTTACAACCCAACATGCCCGGTGACAGTGGCGCACAGGCCAGCTGAGCAGATCACAGAACTATGCTGGCCTCTGTGGTTGGCAGTGCATGGGCCACAACCCGACCACGGCGGGCCTGGCAGTGAGGACCAGCCTCTCGGGGGCTCCAGAAGGACACTGCCGTGTGCCTGAGCCGAGGCTGCATCCTGCTGTTCCCAGAGGCTGCTGCTGAGCCTGGGACCCAAGGCAGGAGGCTGGCCGGGCCCCGCTGCTCCGAGGATGGGCGCCTGAGGCCTCCAGGTGAAGCCTGGGCTGACCTCTCTCGGTGGGGCTGGGTTGTGAACTGTGAGCTCCAGGTGCCCGGTGGGAGGTGTGTTTTAAACTATTTCAGTATCTGAGGTTGACGTCCTGGGGCATCAGCACTGGGGGTGGGGATGAATTGAGAGAAGTTGTTGTCGGGGGCACCAGGAGCGGGGGCTGTGGGCCGGAGGCCGTGTGGCTGTGCAGGCTTGCATACTTCCTGGGGAGAGGCAGACTCTAACACCTTCTCTCCCCCAATAAGGACAGTCACCCCTTACCCTGTGTCTCCTTCCATTTAATAGAACTGAGAGTGGCTTATCTGCCCTCCTCTCTTGGGACCGTGGGCAGACTCCGTGGATTTCATGCAAACAGAGGTCACCCCTGGCTGGTGGGGCTCAGTGGATTGATTGTGGGCCTGTGAACCACAAGGTTTCCAGTTTGATTCCTGGTCAGGGCACATGCCTGCACTGTGGGCCAGGTCCCTAGTTGGGGGTGTAAGAGAGGCAACAGATGGATGTATCTCTCAAATAATGTTCTCTCCCCCTTTCTCCACCCCTGTACCCACTCTAAGATTAAATGAATAAAACCCTTTAAAGAAAAACAGAACACAGAGGTCTGCGGAGGCGTGAGGAGCAGGGTTCTCCGACAGCCCCCTGCAGAGGGTGCGGCGGCAGGGGCAGCCCAGCGATGCCCCTGCGGGGAACCAGGCTGGGGCGGGCACCTGTGGCTAGAGCCCCACGGGGTCCTGTGGGGTTCAGGACGGTCCTGGGATATGGGGTGACCGGCCACAGATGTGGGGGTGAGGTCTGGTGGTGCACACAGGCCTCCAGGACCATCTCAGAGAGACCGCAAAGCCCTGACCAGCAAGAGGGAGAGCTGGCTCTGGTTCCGATCCTGCCGCCAACAGGCGCTAGGACAGGGCACTTCCGCAACCTCGGCTCATCTTCCCGTTCACAAAACGAGAGGCTCTGCGTGGGGATCCCACATCCCTTCCAACCTCAGAGGCGGTGACTACTGCTTGGCAGAGACAAGGCCAGCACAAAAGTCGCATCCAGGAGAGCACCACTGGAAGCTACAAAGTGGGAAATGACCTGTCAGGTCAAGGCCATGGCTGCTCAGAGGGGCTGCTGCCAGCTGGCTGGCCCTGCCTCTGGCACTGTGCAGCGAGACGCTCCCACTGCTCCCACCAGGGGCCCGGGCGCCAGCCCTGTGAGTGAAAGGATATTAATGTGTCCGTCGTGGCTCCCAGAGTAGATGTAGGACTTGCCGCCGTTTCTATGCACTGTCAGGCACTGGATTGACTTGCTGTGACCCTGTGGGGGAGGCAGACAGGCCAGGGTGAGCTGAGGACACGCCAGCCTGCCTCTGTGGCCTGCCAGCTGCTCTCTACCGACTGCCCAACCCCGAGTTCCCACTTCAGATGGTGCCCCCACTACTCTGGCAGAGGCAGGGTCTGCTGAGGGGGGCACCAGGGTCGGCCTGAGGTGCTCCTGGTCTGGCAGTGAGTTTCCGGACAGAACAAAATCACTAGGGCGGACAGTGGGAGAAGGCAGGAGGGCGGCCCCTGGTCATCAGACGGCTTCTGGGTGACAGGGCCGGGGATGGGGTCCTCCCACGCCTCTAATCGCTCCATGGTGCCCAAACTCCTGGCCAGGCACTTGAGGCCTCCTCCCCTCAGGCCCCATCACCTCGAAATCCCATTCCTCCCACGGCCCTCACGCCTGCTGTTCTAACCACACCGGAACCCAAGGGGCTCCCCACATGCACCCCCATGTTCACACCCTGCACGATGTGCACCTCTAAGGCCACCTGGCCCTTCTCCTTGAAGTTCTCATGGCTCCCCACACTTGTGGCGATGCTCCACTAACCCGTCTTGGGGCTCTGGGTGAGAGGCTGAACCCCCAGGACAGGAGGAAGGAAAGGGCCCCTGGCCTCCCACTTGGCTGAAGTCACATCCCCAAAAGCAGCCCACGCCCTGCTACTCTACCAAAGCCCCAGGCCCTGCCTCCCATCGGCCTTCCTGTCTCTCCCTTTCCCGGGCCGAGAGCCCACCTTTCTTCCTGCTGCCCCACACAAGCAGGGTCACTCCGGCACCGCCCTACCTTGATGACCCGCAAGGGTTTGCTGGGGTTGTTTTTGTCCAGGTAGTTGATGTACCCAGACAGGGAGATGCTGAGGAGGTGGTCCTTCTGCCACAAGCAGCCCAGCTGCTGGTCCAGGACATTGGAGCCCATAGTAAACGTGGTGACGACGGAGTTCACGTTGACGTCCCAAATTTTCGAGGTTTTGTCTCCAGAAGCAGAGAGCAAATGGGTGCTATCAGGACTCCAGCTAATCTACTCAAACAAGACAGCAGAGTGTCAGAGAATTCAGTGGGGAGTGGCCCCACTTCTGAGAGGGAAGAAGTGAAGCCAGAGGTAGTGGGGCATGCCAGGGCAGGGCTGGGATGAGTGTCCATGCCACGTCACCCGCCAGATGTGACCCTGAAGCTCTGTGCCCCCCACCCGGACTCCGAAGCTTCCAACGGCCAATCTGTTCAGATGAACACAAACGTGGGCACGGCTGGACCACGAGCCCAGGCGAAGCCACATACTCACAGCGTAAATGCCTCCGTCGTGAGCCTTGCCGCCTCCCAGTGCGCACACCTGCTCCCCCGTCTTCCCGTCGTAGATGTATATCTTTCAACAGAGGGAGAGGCGTGTGGGTTCCCTGCGCACGAGTCTCTAAGCAGCGAGCACGCTAAATGTGCTGTTTCTCATCAACGCTGTCAGAGCTCCCGACTGAGGCTCAAAAACAAAATTAATCTAGAAAGTGCTCATAGACTTTGAGTTCTGCTCCATTTACAAGGAGACAGCTGTGTCCCTGGGCTTTGGGGATGGCTTGGTGACGAAGCTGCGTTCCAGGCAGTGAGAAGGAGGGAGACCCCCAAGACTGGCTTTAGTGAGCTGGCCTCTTCCAAACAGTCCCGGAGGAAGTCGGATGCGCACCCCCCTGCACAGCCCCCCGGCCCTCACCTGGCCATCAGCGCTGGCCGTAGCAAATCTGTTCCCGTCGGGAGAGAATCGCACACAGTTGACAAAGCGGCTGTGGTCCTGCGGGAAAAGGGACAGTTATCCACCCAACGATGGAGGTTCAGGAAGGGTCTCCATGTGATAAGCAGCTTTTATCACACAGCCGCCGCCGCCAGTGTGAGTCTGCAGCCCACAGGACGACGCAGGCTTTTACGAGTCCCAGTGAGCGCCTGCCTGGGCCCAGGCCCATCACTCTGCTTGGAAGGCCCTCTGTCCTCAGGCCGAGACTCCTTCCCCTCCCAGCCGCTCCCTGCTTTCCCCTCCGCTCCCCAGAGTCAGCTCAAGCACCACCTCTTCCGCTTCCTGCCGGCCACACAGGCAGGGCCTCGTCCCCAGTCCCCAGGCCTGGCCCAAGCCTGGAACAAGGCAGGTACTTAGTTGGCAATCAACTGGTATTTAAAAAAATTAAACAATGCTTATGACCCCCATGAAGAATAAGGACCTAAGTGAGGAGAAGAAATGACCTCCAGCCCTGGCTGGTGTAGCTCAGTGGATTGAGCGCAGGCCTGCAAACCAGAGGATCGCTGTTCAATTCCCAGTCAGGGCACGTGCCTGGGTTGCAGGCCAGTTCTCAGCAGGGGACGCACAAGAGGCAACCCATACATTGATGTTTCTCTCCTTCTCTCCTTCCCTTCCCTTCTAAAGATAAATAAGTTAAAAAAGTTAAAATCTTTAAGGAAAAAAATGACCTCTAGGGGTGATTCCCTTATGTGGACAAAGTACAAACTCCTTTACTCCACCAAGAAGCGTTTGTGTAACAATGACCCTCCAAAAACCCAACCGCAAAGCCCGGACACAGGCCTGGCCCCTTCTCCCAGGGCCCCGCCGCCCTTCCACCCCAGCTGCAGCCGCACGCCCACCCCAAAGGGGTGTTAACTGCCTGCCCAGGGCAGACACCAGGATAAACCACCAGACGCAGTGTTCACCACCACCTGCTCCTCCTCCCCAAGGTGGGGCACAGACTTTATATTACTGTTTATCTGGAAATAAGGTCTAGGCGGATGACATTAAGTTAAGATGAAGTCACCAGGGGGGGCCACCCTGCACTGACTGGAGTCCTTTTTGGAAGAGGGAGACTCAGACAGACACACACAGAGGGAAGGAGATGTGTGAGGTTGGAGGCAGGACTGGGGCTGCGCTCCCACAAGCCGGCGGGGGGCCTGGCCCTGCACACCTGGGGGGGCCTCGCCCACACTGTGACCCTGGACTCCTGGCTCCGGGGAACGAGACTCCTGCCACCGTTGCAGCTGCCCAGGCGGCAGCGCTTTGCTGTGGCGGCCCCGGGAAAGGAACACAGGGGTGACCAATGCTGTCTAATGCTCACGGGACAGCCTTCGGGTCAGCGGTGCTGGTCACACTGAGGAGGGAACCCAGACCAGGAGAGAGATCTGGGTGAGGTTCCCGGCGGGGCACCACCAAGCCAGGTATCAAAGGAATCATGTCCCTGAGGAGTCCGCTGGGAGAGTCGGCAGGACACAGGAGCCCCCACCCCCTGCACACTCACGGTCCAGGTCATGGCCCCAGGCCCTGAGGCTGAACTGTTTTGGGCCAGAAGATGTGGGGTCCAGAACTTGGGGACAGGCAAGCCTGGGCTTCCCATCTCTGGTGGGACTGGAGGGAACAGAACACCCCCCCACGGCCTGGCCCACTGGAGTCAGGACGCCCTTCTGGAAGGCAGCACCGGACAGCCAGGGCTGCGCCTGCCCCTCCTGACGCCACCCAGCACCCAGTGATTCCATTATGATGCCACCGCCTCCCCACAGAAAAGCCTGTCCCTGTCTCCTCAGTCCCAGCATCAGCTGCCCCCGTGCGCTGATGTGCTTGTTGTCCCATCTCCCTGCCCCCACGCCCCTCCGAGCTCCTGGAGGGGACCCTTCTAGACGAGGTTTAGTGGGGGCTGGACAAATGCCCCGACCAACTACCAGGAGCTGAGTGGCTTTAGAAACTCCTGTCAGCTTTTCCTGCAATTGGAGCCAAGTGCCCAAATGAGAAGACTGGTGTCTGCTCCTGAAATAGCCCATTTAAAGGGAAAGCGCCCTGAACAGCCCATTAACTGAAAAAGGGAGAGCTAAAAATAGCTTTTTCCACGGTGAGGGCAGGGTACAAAGAAGGCCCTGTCTGGGGCAACACTGCAGGAGACTGAGACTCAGGCTTCTGCGGCTGCCCAACCTGGCCGCCACCTACTAGGCTGGGGCTCGAGGGCCTGTCCCTCCCCCATCACTGTGGCTCAGGATGATCCTGTGGGCCTGGGTCCTGGGTGGCGGGTCCCCTCCTGTTGACCTTTAGTTCCAGCCAAAACTCACTGAAGCTCCCAGGGACCCTCCCCGTCATCATCTGCTCCCCCCACCACTGGCTCCCCTCCACCAGCTCCTCCCTCTTGCCGCTTAGAAAACGGAGGCGTAAAGCACTTAGGTACAATTAATGCATCCAAGTCTGTATCACTGATAGGGACAGAGAGCCACCAGACTGCAGGCCGCTCAGGTGTCCCTCTGGGTGCCCTCCCTGGTCCCACCGGCCTGTGCTGTCCCTCCACTTCCAACCCTCGCACTGAAACGCCTGGTGTCCACCTGCCTCGTCTCCCTGTCGTGAGCTCCTGGAAAGAAACAGCTGCAGACCCCCGTGCCCTCCACCTCCCGCCCTCCCAGAGCGGGGCGCGCGCCCCACGGCTGGGGCTCTGGATGGGCTCTGCCCCGGCCTGGGAGTGCTGCTGTGCCGACCTTCAGCACCCCCACCCCGACTGCCTCCCTCCTCACCCTGCAGCTCCCTGTCCAGGGCCTCGAGGGGCAGAACCACACCCATCACCTGCCTCAGCAGGACTGACAAACACAACGGAGACCAGCTCTTCTGCCATCTGCCTGCCCCTCCTGTCACCAAAGGGACAGAAGACTTGTTCTAATCCTCCTTGGGCCATCCACTGTCCACAGTCCCTCACCTTGCCATCAGCCAAGCTCTGCTCAGAAGGCCGGAGGTGGAGGAGACCTGCCCTGCTGAGCCCCAGCACGACCGCACTAATGCACGTGCGACCGCACTAATGCACGCCCGGCCTCGGAGCAGCAGGCAGGGCCGGCACCGGGGCGGAGGCCGCGGCTGGCACCTGGCATGCGCGCGATGAGGGTGAAGAGCCAACACTGCTGCTTCTGCCCAGTCGTGAGCAGGGAAAGGGGAAGGAAAAACCACCACCAGGAAACCCTACGTGTCAGAGCTCAAACGTGACAAGGAGAGCAAGACTTCCACCGACAGTCCAGACTGAGGTTTCTAGCTTCACTCACCTGCGGCTGGGTAACAGGAAGTGACACCAACCTGGAGCGGCTGTGACACAGAAGACTACACCCAGGTGGCAGGTGAAAGCCTATCCCGGAGCAGCTAGCTGTCCAACCGTGCACCCGGCCCCGAGGAGACCAGGTGTCCCTCCACTGCAGGTGCACTCCCCCTGCTCTCAGACACTTAGGCAGATCGGCAGGAAGTTCCCAGTCCCAGGTCCCACAGCCTCAGCCAGGACAAGCAGGCCCAGGGCACATGAGGCCCCAATGCTGGCCTGAGCAATTGCTCCACTCAACCAATCACCCCACTTAGTGCAATACCCGGGGCCTGAGGTGAACACAGCTCTCAAAAGTGCGAGAGGGGGGTGTCCCTGTCGTCCAGGCAGCCACCTTGCACACTTGACAGATGCGGAGGGGGGTGGCTGGAGAGGTGTAGAAAGTCCCCCAAGCTCACACCGGGCCAGACAAGTGGAGACGCCCAGTGAGGCAGGTGCAGGCAGGGTCCCGCCTGCCCCACCTTTTCAACCCACCCTTCGGTCCTCACAGGGAGCCCCTGACCACAGAACACCAGCGAAGGGACTCTGGCATCGTGCCCACACTGCCGAAGAACTCCGTCCACACCTGTGTCCTGTGATCCTGGGAAGTCACCTCCCCAGATGCCACTGCATCTGAAATGTGGGTGGTGCCAGGGCCTACTCCAGGCGGAAGGTCCCTCCATCCTGTGCTCCTGCAGCCTCTTAATAGCCCATTTCGGGTTCAGGCAAATGTGGGCTAAGGCTGGACGGAGGGCCCAAGAGGGGGCCAGCAGCCAGGCTAGGGGAGCCATGACCCGCTCAGCTCTGGAGGAGCCAGGTGTTCATGCTCGCCCTGCACAACCGGAGCAGCCGGCCTGAGCAGGAAGGGGCAGCATCAAGACCCCACACTCCAGCTGCGGGGGGGGGGGTGGTGTGGTGGTGGTGGTGGTGGTGGTGTTGAGTCTGGTCACTCTGACTTGTCTAGAAAACTGCTTTCACTCCCCCTGGGTACACACACTTTTGTTTCAACATGGACTGAGCTCAGAACACAGCTCGCTCCTTTTCAAGGTGGTAACTTGAACTTGACACCTGTGTGCCTCACATACCCGCCGCTTATTCTACAGTCAAGAGGGAGGTGGCAGGAGCTGGAAGCTGGGTGGACAGGCAGCCCCCTGCCAGTCCACGTCACAGCTGTACTCAGAGTCGCAGGTCCAGCCCTGAGGTTGTCCACACCTTCACTGGGCATTCCGGAAGGGTGTGGGGGACTCGAGGGCCCCTTGTCCTTCCCACACTAGGTCGGCTGAGCCTGTCAGAATCTGTGCCAATGGAAGCCCCAAGAACTCTACAGGGACACTCGGCCATTCACCAGCATCTCTCTTGCCCTGCCCTCAGCTGTGTGGGGACAGGGGAGGCAGGCCATCGTCACCCTGCTTCCTGGGAGGGCCAAGGGGCGACCAGCCTGAAGGTCGCAGAGCCATGGGCTGCAGTGCTGAGCCGACACCCAGTGTACCCTGCTCTTGCTCACAGTCCCTTCTGATCTCTCCGAGGTCCCTGCATGGGACCCTGGCGCAATGGGCTCCACGGGAAGACTGCAGGTAAGCTGCCAACCCACCCTGGAGACAGGTGCCAGCTGGGCGCACCTTTCTACGCATGCCCCCCAGGCCGGGGCCTGGGAGGGCTGTGCTCTCCGGCTAGAAAGGAGAACAGAAGGAGAAAGAATATTCCGGCCAAGGGAGCACATGGAGAAGGCTGGTAGGGCAGTGAGGGCACAGGCCAGAGCGGACTCTGGGCTCCACTATCAGGGCCCCTCACCCACCCCTGAGCCTGCGGGCTGGGCGTAACCCCCATGTGCAGAGAGGAACCGACCCCCGCAGGCAGGGGAAGGAGCCCCACCCCCCACGGCCCAGAAACCAGACAAAGTGCCTGGCGAGCTCAGGGCGCAGGCACTGCTCCACTGGGACAGCCACGGCAGCCAGGAGGTCGCCCTGCCTTCTACGGTGCACGTCCCCACTGGGGAAACACCAACCATGAGCCAGCCTTCACCAAAGCCCCCCCCCCCCCCAATTAGGCAGTGGTCCCAGGAGAGGACAGCAGAGCAGTGCTGGGGCTGGGAGGAGAACACACCCCCAGCACGGCACACGCCCAGTGCCACTCGGCCAGGCCCTGCTCAGCGGCCCCCGACAAAACAAACACAAAACACCCCACTACCGCCAGGGAGCCTCGGGAGAGCTCTCGCAACCAAAACCGAGATGCGGCTGGAAGTTCTGCCCGCTGCCCATGGCCTGCCCTCTGGGGACACTGAGGCAGCATCTCCGCCCTTTCCAGCTACACCTGGGGTGCAGGTCCAGGGGTCAGGGTTCACCGCGTTACCATCAAAGTCAACAGGAGTCCTCAAGGAGCCTCCCGAAGGACAGGACCTCATTTAACCCTCGATGAGGCTGGACCTGTGGGAGGCTGAGCACAGCCGAGCTCCTGGTTAAACTGCTGAGGCCCGTGCCCCCACACCCACCTTGCAGACGGGAAAGGGGAGGCCCTTGTGCCAGTCAGGGGCATGCTCGGAGCTGGGGCTGAGATCCCAAAGACATTTACCCCCTGAACCTGTGACCCTTAGAGCCCCCATCAATCCTTGAGTGTCTCTTTACAGGGTGTCCCTGCGCCCATCTTCTTTCGCCGGGAAGGCAGCAGAGACAAGTCCCAGTGCCACTGGAAGCTCACCTCCTCTGCCACTCTGGTGGCTCAGGGGGCCTGAAGGGGGCACAACCGGAGAGCAGGCTGATGCCAGCCCTGGGCTGCCCCTCTCGCAGCCGGCATGCCTGGCTGCGTGCTGGCCACATGGCTCACAGGTACGTCCCACCCCCACCCAGAATGCACACCTTGTCCTGGAGCGGAGCCCTGCGGGGCCCTCTTGCTGGAACTAAAACCGTCCAAGAGACACGGACTGGTGCGCGTCCCACCTGGGTGACATCGCCTCATGAGCCCCACTTTTCGCCCACATGCCACTGGTCTGTGCCATGACCTCTCTGCCGTCAGCATGGAACACGTTTAGATTCCATCGACCTCACATACAAATCACCAAGTTCACCCAAAGCCACCCTAGAGAGAAGTCCACTTACGCCAATTGTAAACTTGAACTTGAATGGTGGCCCCTCAAAGAATGCAGCGCAGTTATCATCGCTGCCTGTCGCCAGCCGGTATGGCCTGCTCTGCTTGATGTCCACACTGTTGATGACTTTGTTGTGTCCCGTGATCTCGCCCACAGAAGAGCCACTGTCCCACAGGAAGACGGCTCCAAACCTTCACCAACGAGAGGGGCCAAAGGGGAAAAATCAGCCCCGGGAAGCCGGATGACACACGGGCGGCTGAGCGGCCAATCTTGGGACCATGCAGGACACACGCCTTTCTGAAGAGCACGCCCTGAAGGCGCTGTGGTTCTGGCCCTACATGGTGTTTGTCGGGAGCACCGAGAACACATGCCTTTTGGGAGAGACCAGAGGTCCTTCCAGATGTATCTGCGAGGCCCAGTGCCCTCGGGCCTCCTGCACGGAAGGTGCCTTAGAAAGCACCGGCCGGGGGACCCGCTCCGTGGTGCCGTGGGTCTCCTCACTGGGCAGGACCAGGGAACACAGCACTTACTACCACCCCTCCTAGCGAAGGAGCGGCTGCCTTGCTCTCGGCTGGCATTCAGTGAGGATGTGCGGTTTTGGTTACTACATGCAATCAAGTGAAAAAGGACCTGTTAGGACCACCAAGGAGGACTTGAAAGGCTACGGAAGACCTGACGCCCACCACGACACGTGCTAAGAGGAGCCTCCCCGTGAGGGGTAGAGACCGTGCCTGCCCAGTTCGAATCCGTGAAGGCAGCTGTGGTGCCCCAGAGGGAGCCCTGACCGACCCCCCTGGGCACCAGGCCCATGACTGCAGCAGCCACCAAGGGCCACCTACCCAGGGTCCCCCTGCCCCGTCTCCCGTAGTAGGGGGACCTTGGGTGATGTGCCCAGCTAGGGAGAACATCCAACCTCCCGCGCAGCCAGGTGCAGCCCCGTGTGGCTGCTGGGAGGGACCCCAATCCTGCTCTCTAAGAGCCATGTCTCTCACTCTCCCCCTTTCCTGCTGCCTGCAGTGTGGGCACGAGAGGAGTTCCAGGACTTCAAACACAGAGAGGAGGTGCCTGAGCCCCGAGACAAACTCGGAGGGCTCACCCATTGTGACATGTCACCAAGGCCCACACTGAAGGAGCCAGCGGCTTGTGCTGGTCACACCTCTGTGAGGAAGGCCCGAGGGCCTGGCACCTATGGGAACTTGGCACATACTAGTCCCCACTGGCACGCTTAGGCCACTGCACCCCTCCCCCCAGGGGCACAGAGGAAGCAGCAAAGCAGGGACATGGGCAGGGAGGGGCCGAGGCCAGAGACTCACTTCTCCCTTCCTTCCCCGACCACTGCGATCCTCTTACTGTCTTCCGTCCAAGCAATGTCCTTGATCTTCCCGGCGAAAGGCTGATACTCGTACTTCAAGAGGTGCTCCTTCTGCGTGGTGTCCCAGATCCTCAGCTTCCCAGACACATCTGCAGACACAATGGGGCGGCGGGAGCCACGTCACCACGGGTCCAGGCCACGTGGGCCCAAGGCCGTCTGGGTAGAGGGACGTGTTTGTAGGATAACAGTACTTGGCCACTCACGGACCAGAGGACGCTGCTGAGTCTGTGCCCCTGGCCGGTGACCACTGAATCACAAGGTCACGCAGGCAACAGCAAACCCAGGGACGCAGGTGGCAAACCCAAGGTCTTGGGATGCAGCCTCGTTTTATCTCTTCCTTTGTAGGGGATCGAAATGGCCCGTGGGCCTCGGGCAACTTCCGCAACACTGGGGGACTGCAGTTCTTCACCCACACAATGTGAGTCCACCGGGGACACCCGCCTTTCCCGCGCAGTCCCTGCGTTCCTAACAGAGGCGTGCTAGGACGTGCACGGGGCTCCAGCGGTGTGCGGACAAACCCCGCTCCGTCACAGCCCCTCAGGCAGTCAGCGGCCCCACTCGTGGCCGAGCAGCACAACCCCACGACTCCCAACTGAGGCTCCAGGTGAGCCTCCGGTGAGAACCAGGGTGGGTGCCGGAAGGAGCCATACTACGGACAGAACTGGGGGCGGGCCTCGCGGCCTCTGTCATGGGTTAGTGGTAATAGTCCCTTCCCTGCCTGCTACCAGCCTGACACCAGTTCCAGGCACACTCCCCCCACACACCAGTACTGACCCCCAAATTAGCAGAAAAAACAGAGGACTCAACACCAACACTTGAGGCTTAAATCCTCAGCCCCAAGGGGCCTGCAGGACATGCTCCCAGGACCCTGGGCCGCTTGAGCACCCAGCACCAACTCTACAGCGGTCCCTCGAGAGCAGGTTTTGTCCTGTTCAGGGGGTACAAGAGAGGAGAGGCCAGCGCCAGCTCCAGCGAGTCTGAATGGGCCTCATGCACCGACTGCAGGGGGAGTAACTGCCACCTGGAGGGCTGTCGCCAAGACGAGATGCGTCCTCAGCACACCGCAGGCTCCGTGGGGGTCTTCCCCGGGGAGCAAACGCCTGGCACCCACAGGCCAGCTGGGGGCCAGACCGAGACACCTTCCACGAGAACATCACTAACTGAGGGGCCCCCAGGGGCCCCTGTCCTCTCTGGGCAACATCTAGGAAGACCACCTGGCCTATCACCCAAAGGGAGTCACAAGGAGGTGACCTGGACCTTGGTTAAGTGCCTTCACTAAACAAACTGGCCAGCAGGGAAACACAGTGCAGCAGCAGGGGCCAGCGGCACGTGTGTGGGAAGGGCTCCCATGCGCGCTGGGCCGTCCAGGGCTGTACTGCCCACAGCACAAGGTCCAGGGCACCCCACAGCACATGGGTGAGCCCAGCTTTCCCATCTCCCTGGGCTCGGCATGCACCGCCTGTGCCCCGCCAGCTCGGGCTCCCTGCCTTGCTCCCGGCCCACCCCCACCCCCAGCGGCCTATCCCATCAGGCTTGGCTTGCTCATCAAGTTCCTTTCAGAAGCAGCTGGGGCCAGAACACCACCACGGAGCTGCAGACCAGGCACTCAGGCCCCGCCTGACCAGGGCACCCCAGGCAGCGGCAGTGACAGAGCGGCACGGGCGAGTGCTGGGGGCACAGCGGACAGGCAGCTGCCTGGGGCCTCAAGGACAACAGACAGTGGGCACATACCCATCCGCGTGCTGGCTGCTCCACAGAGCCAGGGGAGAGTGACTTCGGAGTCAGAGGCCTCGGCTCACAACAGCCCACAGCCGGAGCAGCGCTCACATCCTCCTCCTCCTCTGGGCTCAGGTCCCAGGGTCCTGCTTTCTGAGGGTCACCTGGGAATCACTGCCTGGAGTGCAGACCCCAGCACCTAAATCACCCGAGGAAGCCACCACTAGAAAGAGGGGAGGGCCTGCCCTGGGGGTGGCTCCGCACCGAGAAGCATCGCCCAGCGAAGCATCGCCCCGCAGCACCACGGGCCCCTCCTGACAGCAGACACACGGACTGCCTCGTTCGGGGCTGGAGGCCCAGGCCCTGGCACGGGCTTCCGCACACAACAGGCCTTCCCGAGGGCTCACTCGGCAGAAGTGGGCCGGCCAGACTTACGGAGCCCGCAAGGTCCAGTGGAGGGCCGGCGCCCCGTCTGGGAGTGGGCGGCAGGCTTCTCGAGGCCCTGGGATCCCCACCCCAGGCGGGCACAGCAGGTACCGAGCAGTGCGCGGAGACAGAGAACAGGGCGCTCACGCAGCCGCCTCCTCCTCACTGCAAACCGCATACACACACAGTGTAACTCAGCCCTGGGCTCTCGTCTCTGCAGAACACATCGCCGACTTCCATCTGGGCGAAGGACCAGTGCGCTGCAATTGTGGATGTGAGCTCCACCCAAAAACACCTGCGCCCGCGTGCACCCAAGTCTGCCTGGGCCCCCCATTCAACCGGGGCGTTGGGAAGAAAGTGTCACGCTGACCCCTGACTTGTGTGGGCTGTCCTCTGTGACCCTTTCTGCACCGGCCCTCCTCACGGACTCCGCATCAGCATCTGAAGGCCAGCGACGTTTGTCTGGCTGAACGCCCTGCCCGGGGACCCAGGCCGGGCTCACCAGTGATTCAGCAGCTGGGCCCCCGGCTCAAGGCCTCAAGCTACCAGGCAGGGAAGCTACATCACGCAGGCAGTGGGACCTCCCCCGACCCTGCTCTCTGGAGAAGACACTCTCTCACAAGGCCCCAGGGCCAATCCTGGGGTTTTAATGAAGAGGCACGTTGCTGGCAAGCTAGGCCAGAACAAAAAAAATCCGGAGGGCTAAAATAAGTCATGGGAGATAAATTAGAGCAGGTTTTACAGAGGGAGTCAGAGTAGGTCACACACAAAACCAGTGAGTGCCCACCATGCGCCAGACGCCTGGCCAAGCCCTTCACACACAACCCTGGCTGGCCGGCGCTGTGCTCAGCCAGCAGGCCCGCTGTCTGGTGAGCCTGGTTTGGGTGACAGACACTGTGGTCCTCAGGTGCCCACCACATGAGCCGGCCTGGGTATCTTACAGGCATTGCCGCATGGGACCCTTCGCAAACAGACCTGGCAGGTACTAGCAGCCTGTGTACAGCAGAGAAAACGAAGGCCCAGGAAGACAGGCGATTCAAGGAGGCCCCACCGCTAGGAGGGTGTGCCCTTCAGGGGCAGGCCCTGCGTGCCACCGGCCACGCCCGGAGCCAGGGCAGGGTAGACAAAACAGCCACCACTGTGTGTGAATCCGGCCCTCCCCACTAGCTGGTTAGTTCCTTCATCACTTTGGTTCTACCTGCTGCTCTCCGGGGCAGCAGGGATGCCCAGGTCAGCTCCTCACCGGGCTCTCTCCCTGGGGCCCGAGTCAGGCTGGGCATGGGCAAGGCAGACAACAGACACAGACACCCACGGAGCGTGTGAATGAACGGGACACGGGGGCGGGGCGAGTCACTGTAACTGTGCCTCCCTTTCTTACCTGTGAATGGCGGAAGAGCTACCTCGAAGGACTGGGTGAGTAAGGACACCATCACAGGGCAAGATCTCTGTGCCCAGCTGCCCACCGAGCCACAGGGCCCGGCTGGGGCACGGGCCCAGACCAAGAGTGAGAGGAGCGCTGACCGAGACCGCGGCTGGCACCGCGCAGGGGACCAGGCAGGAGCAGCAGATAAGGTGGCACAAGACAAAGCTGCGATTCAGAAGCGCCCGTGCGTGCACACTCGAGAGCTCCAGTAACCATGACACGGCCGCCTCGAAGGCCTCTGGCCAGCCTCACAGAGCGTTTCTGCTGACCTCTGAGGGCGACCAGCTGGCAAGCTGCAGACTAACAGGCAGCGGGATGGGGCTTTTGGTGGCTTTATGCTTCTGTCAGCCCCAAGAAACTAATCACATTGGCTCCACCCCCACCCTCCCGAGACAGGAGCCCAGCCTGGCTCTAAAGCCACCTCGGCCACCCCAGGTGCGTCCACGAGCCACGCGCACAGGTACCTCCAGAGGCGACGTAGAATCCGCTGGGCGCGTACTTGGCCACCACCACCTGATGGGCGTGCTCCGTGTAGATGTCGGCGACGGCCGGGTCCTGCAGGGGGGACACGAGTGAACACGGGCACGTAGAAGCCACTTCCCCTCCCCCAATGGCTGGGTTTGATGGGCAGTGACACAAAACTGAGTCGGAAGCTTCCTAAAGAAAAGCCCAGAAGCATACCTACCTGCCTCCGGCAGGCAGAATTCTAGGGAATTGTGAATCTCTTGTCTGTTTAATTAGAGAAGTCAAGGCAATTTTCTCTCCCTGGTATTTGTGAAATATGAACATGGAACAGAAGTTTCATTTTTTAAAAATCAGGCACAAATTTTCTCCAGTTTGTGCAAGCAGCAGCCGGTTCTCCACATTGGAGCTGTCCCTGCAACCCCCCACCCCCCGAAGCAGCCCTGTCCCCAGCTGCCATGCAGGGCAGGACCCAAGCCGGAGCCTCTGCTTTGAGGCAGGAGAACAGAGCGGGGCAAGGGGCTGGGAGCCTCTCCTCATCAGAACCCTCGGGTGGGAAGGGAAGGGTGGACTCCCAGCCACTGGCCTGGCACAGACCAAAGGCTGGCCGGACTCTGCAAGGAGAACGGGGTCGGCCTTCGGGACCAGAAGCATCTTTACTGTGCGACAGGCAAGTTTTAACACGTGATTCACTGAATGTAAATGCCGGCGCCCACCCCCTCCCCCACACATGTACACACACACAGATGCTCTTGATTTGTGTCCACGGTGGAGTTCACTTTCGGGAGGGAATAAAGACTCGGCCCCTGCATCCCTGAAACCCTCTGAAAACTCTGTCTGAAAGAGGCAGCTTCCCACAGACTCGGCTGCTGCAGGTACAACCAGCCTGACCCCCAACAGACCCCGACCTGCTCTGGCCACCTGGCAGCCCCCCTCCCCGTCTCCTTTCAGGATCAGAGGCCTGCACTCGGCTCGGCCTCCGGCCACAGGAGCCCCACAACCCTCCTCCCCATCAAAGCCCAGAGCAGCGCACCCTGAATTCCAGCCCCGCCAACCAGCGGCCACCTCCGGCCAATCCTGGCAGCCCCAAGTCCCTCGGCCAGTCCAGCGGTACCTCTCCCTGGCTGCTGACACTGCCAACACATCTCATCTCACTGGGGGCCACCTCTTCCACGAAGCCCCCGAGGCGACCTGTCCCCTCCTCTGTGCTTCCAAAGCACTCCGCACCCCTGCAGGCTGCCATGACACGTGCTGCCGCACCCTCCAACTCTCCTGTGACCTGCTCCCGTGCATTCACCTCCTCGGCCACCAGTCAGCAACCAGCCGGTGCCCAAGAAATGCCTTTCGAAGGGAAACAGTTCCACATCCTGCTCTTTCACCCCAAGACTTATCGCTTATTACTGCGTGACTCATGAACTAATTCGTCTTGGGATAAACATTTGCTAATGAAGTTAGAAAGATGTCAGATACCCAGAAAAGATAGTCCGAATGGCAGATAAGTGAATGAAAAGGCGCTCGGCACCACTGGCCCTTTGGGAAATGCAAATCAAAACTACAAGGAGACACGGCTGTGCGCTCACTGGGACGAGTAAAACTGAAGACTGGCGCCACTGAGCAGCACGCGTGGGGGTGGGGGGCGGGACGCGGGGGTGTTCCCCCACTGTGGTGCGATCGAGAACCGCCAGGCTGGGTAGTCATAGCTAAGCACGCACTCACCCTGCAGAAACCCAGCAGTCCACGCCCAGGCATCGACCCAAGAGAAATAAACACACAAGCCCGCACAAAGTCATGGCCAGTGACTCTTTATCCATAAGGGCTGGAAAATGGAAACCGCCCAAAGGTCTCCCGCCAGGAGCCAACTGACCAGAGCTGGCAACACAGAGGACCAGCTACTAGCAGCCCCCACCACAGGGAGCCCACACCCGGTACACGGCTCCTTTCACCAGAAATGCCAGAAAAGGCAAACCGAAGTGACAGGAAGCAGATCGGTCCCTGCTGGGGGCTGGGGGTGGAGGGAGCCGACTGACTACAAGGGGCAGAGGGGGGGCTTGGCGGAATGACTGGAATGTTCTCTGACTATGGATGACGGGGGTGGTTACAGGACTATACACAGTCCACAAAAACTCAAGTTGTCCATACTTAAAACGGAGGGCTTCTTCCGGCTATATTACCCCTCAGTGAAACCAAGACACCTGGGGTCCATGAAATGCCTGCCTGCTCCTGCCCAGGTTAGTCCTCTGGTTCCCCTGTCCTGACCCAGACAAGTTCCCTGGGCCACCACTGAGGTCTTATACCCCACAGTGGGCACCACCGGCCCACTCTACAGACGAGAGCGCCGCCGTGAGGGCAACCACCCACCCACGCTGGCGCTCACAGCCCAGTGACCCGTGGGTGCACCACCCTGCACTGCCTTGAACTGGGTGGGCTCCATGGGGGGACTTTGGGGAGGGGTGAGTGACAGGAAGAGCAGCGGGCAGTGGCCCTGAGAGGAGGCTGTCCTGAGAATCCCTTTCGCCCCAAAGGGCAGGCATTGGCAAGCACAGGGCAGGGCGTGGGAAACTCCTGAGGTTGCCCTTGGCAGGCTCAGCCCCAGAATTCTGGGCTGGACGAGATGTTCCTCTTCCAAATACAACCAGCCTGAAGGGGCAGCGGTCTGCAGGCTGGATAGGACCGCCTGTGTCAGCAGCCACTCCTCCCCACACAGGGAGGCTGGCCACCAGCAGCACAAGTGACACCTCCCCTGTCCCCAACATATTCTGTCACCGATCAGGCCCATCCCCCAGCAGTGGGTCCGGAGGCACCAGGACTCAGGCCCAGTGCCTGCTCCAGAGCTTCCTGTTGTCTCGGGGACCAGAAAAGCAGAATTGGGGCGAGCAGCTCTTGTGGGGAGCCGGGGAGGGAGGAAAAGCAAACCAGGGTGGGCCAAGGAGCACTGCTGCTGGGCCAGGGGCCCCTCTCCCGCCCTCGGGAGACCCGCAGAGCAGGGGCTCCAGCAGGACGCCCCTCCTCCCGCCCCCACCAGGACTTCCTTCCTGCTGTACTGCCTAGCTCTGGCAGTCAGAGGCCTCAGGCAGGAGAAGGCCTGGCACCAAGGCCCTGGGGGCACCATGAAGATGTGGACAGGGGCTGACAGGGCCACCAAAACCTCTGGCTGCCTCGCCTGTACCCGAGTCCTGCCCCATCTTCTAACAGCGCCCAAGCCCACCTCCTCCTTCCACCCCAAGTAGATTCCACCCAGTTCTTCCTGCCCCCCCCCCACCCTTATCTCTACCTGCCAACAATCCACTGTGGTCGCCAGGTCCCCCATTCCTGCCTTAGAAACCCTCCCTTCAGCAGCTATGAGGCCTGACCCCATGCCCTGTCCCACAAGGTGTCCCCCTGATGAACTCAGGGCCGACAGGAGGCAAGACACAGAAGACACTGTTTGAGAGGAGTCACAAACGTGACAAGACTCGGGACCATGGGCCGCCCCACCGCACCATCTGCAGGAACAAGGGGAGGGTGCTCCCACGGCGCCGTCGGAAGGTGGGTTCGGGGCCCAGCCTCAGACCATCCCTGCCTGCCCCCCCACCCCGTGCAGAGGGCCCTCCCAAGGGCGGCACACCCAACAGACCCGAGACCTTCCCCAGCCCGGGAGGAGGACCACTCACATACGCTGTGCACCAGCAGTGTGGACCTGAGCCGCCCCCGTGCCCCCAAGCTCTTCTGCACTTTGGGTGCAGAGCTAGGGCCAGAGGTCACCACCGCAGTTTACCCATAAGGTTGGGTGATGGCCCTGTTGGGCGGAGCAGGTGGGGCAGGAAGGGACAGCGTCCACAACCCAATCAGAAGCACGACCACCTCTCCACCGGCTTCACGCGGGAGGCTGCTCCCTTCTCTTTTTCCTGCAAGGCTCTGACGTCCCCACCCACCCAGTGGGAGTCCACGACAGAGAGGACACAAGGCAAACTTCTCCCAGCCTCGATGGACAGGTGATCCCCGTCTAGATTCTCCCCTTCCCTGTGGCCCCTGCCTCAATCTTCTTCCTGGAGAACTCAACCTCACCCTCTGAAACCCAACTCAAAAGTACCCTTTCTCCAGAAGCCTTCCTTGTTGCTCTGTGGCATCGATGGGTCTTCCCTCTTGTCCCCAAATAGGTCCGCACACTCTTCTTCTAAAGCGCTTAACCGAGTGATTTAAAATCTACCTGGCAGGGTTCTTCCATGGCCATGATTGACATCTTAGGCTGGATGAAGGGGGTGGGGCAAAACGGCCTGAGAAGCACTGATTTCAACCTTGGGCACTGTGGCCACAGGCAGGGCTCAGCCTGTGAACAGGGGCTGGCCGTGTGGGGGGGACCCCAAGAAGCAAGGACTGGCTGTACCAGCTGAGGAGCACTTGCTAAGTGATACATGCATCTTCGGTGGCTTCTTAACTGGTCACCCTGTGTCAAATCTCAGATACAAAAGAATCTAATCCTTCTACCACAGACTTCATTATTGGCTGAGTAACTTTTTAATAATTCTGGTGCCCTTTGGACCAGGGCTGGGCTCCGCAGTAGGGCTGCCTGACACCCACTGCCAGAGCCTGCACCCATCCTGTGGAGCCCTCTTGCCAGCCACGCTCCACATGCTGGCACCACCGACTCTCTAGGTGTCTTCCCTGAGCCTGCAGGCGCTCGGAGCCTCCCGTGCTCTGTACTGAGTGCCACACGGCTCCACTGCTTTCTCCGTGCCGTCTAGGCTCCAGAACTCGAGTTGGCTTTCCCTGCTAGACGGCGAGCACCGAGGCTCTGCCTGGAGCAGTGTGAGGTGCGACCTGGGGCCAGATGGAGAGGCCTTATCAGCCCCAGCGAGGGAGGCAGAGGAGCAACCTGGCCTAACACAAGCAGTCCAGTGCGGTGCAGAGAGCAGGCCCAGGTGCTGTTTGTGTTTCTGCGGTCCAGGAGGGGAGGGTAGCTTGGGAGAGGATGGAAGCGGAAGTAGTGAAAACTTGTTAGACTCTGAAGTGACTCTGAATGTAGCATCAGGAGGATTCCTCGAAGAGTTAAAGGTGGTGTGGGCGAGAAGGGCGGAATCGAGCCCAAGGCCTGGGGGACTGCACTGCTGTTCTGGGGGAAGGACACATGGGACACCCAAGTGTGGTCTGGGCACACTGAGGCTGAGATGCTAATCTGATGTTCCACGTCCAGTCCCCACCTCCCTTTCCCTCCCCTTCTCCATGCACTGAGCCTGTCTGTCCTCCAGCCAGCTGTCTTCCCACCAGTCCCTACACGTTGACAAGGACTCTGGTCTTTTTCACAGGAGCACCTGCCCTCCTGAGAGTAACACCAGCTCTACTGGAGAACCAGTGAGTGCCCACCAATCACACAAGGGCCTCCGTTGCCTGGCTGACACCCAGAACACGGAGGGACACCTCAGCACCATCCTGTCCCTGCAGAAACTTACAAACAGCTGGGAAGTAAAAGCAAATGCATCCTCGAAGGAAAACGGTCAACTTGGGGGTGGTGGTAAAAGTAAAGACCGGCACGGGTTTCCCAAGTCAGGGACCGCCTCTTGCAATGGGGGTGCTTGTCCGTGGCTGTGAACAGCTTCTCCATGGGAACCAGCTCCAGCTCTTGGCTGCCTTCACCTAACTGAGTCTGACGCCCTGAGAGCCATGGGCCCACTGTGCGGTTGAAGGAGGTGCAGCAGTGTAACAACTGTTCACGGTACCAGATGCAGTCGGTACTTCGTGTGAGGCCGGCGTCTGGAAGTGAGTGCCGCCAGCCATGACACGTGCCTGCCTTGCCAGGGGCAAGCCCAAGAGGTCCACAGTCTGCATCCCTGAGATGCTTTCGTCCATTTCATTTGCTAATTACAAGTGAGTATCTACTTAAGGCCATCTCAACTCTTCTCAAAATTTCAGGCCCTCACTCTGGAGTTCTCTGGGTCATTACGATCGAAGTCCCTGGTGATACTTCCCCCAGTTCTGAGCGAGACCAGATCAGCTTTCTAAGAATCCATGTGAGTAGTAGACTAGCTTTTAGCACCTTTAAAGCACATTCACACCCACCCACCCCCTCACTCGAGGTGCCCAGCAACCCTGGGCAGAAACTGCTAAACAGATATCCCGTTTCCCAGCAGAGAAACAGCGGTGGCTGGCTTCCCCAGAAGGGCAGGGGGGAACCAGCCTCGACCCTGGAGAGGCTCCCCTTTCACAGACAAGGAAACCGAGGCCCACAGACACCCTTCATTCCCTCAGCCAGCTGTGAGGTTCCTCAGTGACAATTCCAACCCACAGAGCAGTTATTTACCAGAGATGTGAAGCAGACACCCCTGGTAAAAGCAAAAATCACCCACCTACATACTGTGTAAAAGGCCTGAGCCTGGCTGAGGAGAAGCCCCTCCAGCCCCAAATGGCCCTGCCAGCATCTCTAGCTTCCACGCCCGCCGCCCCCCCTCCCCATCACTCAAACTGAGTTAGGGAGAAGAAAGATTTCAGTGTGCCATCCTGCCAGTGAGGAGAATGACAAGCAGACTGGGTCATTTCAATAATCACAGAGCAATGCAGAAATCTGCAAGGATTTCCCAAGGAATTGGCTCTGGAAGCGTTCTCAGCCTGGGGACAGGAGGCCTGCTTCCACTGGTGATTCATGGGAATTAACTGGTTTCTGATTTGGCGTTAGGGCTTAGATTCATAAGGGAAGTGCAGAGGCCTGGGTACGAGTGGGGCCCAGCCATGCTGGGAGACCCTGGGTGTTAACGGTGATTAAGCACAAGTGCCCATTTACCAAGCGCTGGGTGTGTGCCAGTCATGCTGGGCTGGAGGGCCACCTCATCTCGTTCGGCTGGGCAGGGCAGCCAGGGAAAGTGGGGGGAGCCTCATCTCATCATCTCCATTTCACAGAGGAAAATGGGACTCAAGAGAGGCCTAAGTCACCACCACCCCAACATCAAGCAGCAGCTGATGGGCCTGTGTCATCCCCAACTCCTGAGTCCTTATGCTTATGGGAACCAATATGAGCCTCAGTTTCCCCATGAAGAGAATCGGTTCTGGATAAACTTGAAACAGTCTTCCAGGGCTTTCTGAGGTGTGGTCGCATGGCTGAGGGGCGTGGTGTCCTCTCCTTCGCAGGCCACCGGTCCGGGAAGGAAAGGGTGGAAGGGGAAGAATTAACCACGAGCTACGTTGCTCAGGACTGAACCGGTGCCTGGTGGGGGGAAGGGGATACTTACATCGATGTTCCTTAGAATAACACACTTCCCATTGGTGTAAAGAAAATTATTGCCTTTAGGGTCGCCACCGATGATTTTGGAGACGCCCCTCTCCACTTGCGGGAGGCTCGCGAACACCTTTTCTGCAGAGACACAAACGCAGCGGCGCACGTTAAGGAGCGCCCCGCCTCGGTCCCCTGCTGGCTGAGGACGGAGGGGAGGAGAGCAGGGGCTCAGGACCGGTCTCAGCCGGTCACCTGTTGCCTCCATGGGAGGGGCGGACGCCACTTTGAAGGAGTGCAGGGGACCGTGCGACTTCCTGGTCCACTATCCCCTCCAGGCCCTTCGGGGACGCGGGGGCTCCACAGGGCTCGGCCCGCAGCTCCAACTTTGGGGCCCCCGAGATCGATGTCGCACCGGGGGGCGGCAAGGCGCTCACGAGCCTGCGCCCGCACCCCTCCCCCGCGCCCGTGGACCCCACCGAGCCGCCCACGCCCCACCGATGGCCGAGGGGGTACGGTAGCGCGGGCGTCCACCCCTGGGGCACCGGGCCGCGGCACTTACTGATCTCGTACGGCATCCTCGCCCACTTGTTACCGCCTCGCGCTCGCCGCTATCCTCAGGGGCTGCCCGAGCTGCGAATCAGACCTAGCCGAGGCCGAGCCGGGGAAATGGACCGAAGGCGGCGCCGGGCGTGCCGGACGCAGAGGGGGCGGTCCGAGGCCGGGTCTCCAAGGTCTGCTCGCGCCCTGCCCTGCGCGCAGCCGCTGCGGACGCGCCGAACCCGGAAGCGCGGCCCCGCGCGCGGCTCGCCCCCAGCTTTGACCATATATAGTCAAGCGCTCTGCTAGGCGCAGCAGCCCCGGCGAGCCTGCGCGGACCTGGCCGCGCCCCTCCTCCTCCGCGGCCGCGGCTCCGCCCCCCGCCCGGAGGCCCCGCCTACGGAAGTGGCGTCACCCCGGCGGCCCTATGAAAAGGTGGCGCGAGCGGAGTTTCTCGTCAGAATGTTCTTGGGTGCGGGTCGGTAAGGGTGGTGCAATTGGTTTTGGGAAGGGAAGTTGGGCTGTGCGAGGCTGGTCTCTGGGGGCGCTGAGAAGCTTCATCGCGTGGAGGGGAGGGAAGCTGGGAAAGTCCATGCCTATGTTTGCGTAGCGGCCGTTCCAGAGCCGTTAGCTTCCGGCCCTGTGGGCGCCCTGTGTTCGCAGAAGCTGCGTGGCGCCCGCTGGGGTTTTGCAAGCATGGTGCTTTTTATTTCTTTTTTAAAAAATCATGGGTGGTGACTGGGAGTGCCCTTCCCTCAAAAACAGTTGCAGGCGCAGGAACTTGAGGGGTGTCCTATGCTGGGCCCGAGCTTTCTCGTAACTTAAAAAGCAGAGAAGCCAACAAGAGTGCGCGGGCTGGGGGAGGGGTGTAGGTTCTAAGAAACTCAGGGTTTCTTTCCTCATTAAGAAAGCAGAAGGGGAATTTCGTTTTACAAGATTAAAGCAGCGGCTCGTAGGGGGAAAGCAAGGGTTTCGAAGTGTTACTTTGAGCCTTACCTTTCGGCTTGTGGGGATGGGGGGCAGGTACTATCTTTTTCCCCCGAGTTGAGGGGAAGGGTTCGTGTTGAGATTACGTAAAGTACTTGCTTGTACTTATACGTGTTTTGTTTGTTTGGGCTTTAAACGTTTGAGCGACTCCTTTCTGTGTAATGGGAAATTCTGTTCACTGTTCTTCAAAAAAAAAAAGTGTATCCAGGTTAATCTTATTTTGCCTCCTTGGCTGTTCTGCAGAACCAGGTTCCGAAGGCTCACCTGGGTTAGTTACTGCAGGTGTGGCCCTTTGTTATCTTGGCTTGTTCTCCTCCCCCAGCTTTTATCTGTCCTCCAGGTTGCTGCCTGGGTGTTTCCTCTAGATCGAAAACAAATCTCACTCTTTCCCGGTTCAAGACCTCAAAGGTCTCAAAGTTAAAAGCCGAAAGTCCCTGGAATGGCCTACTGGGCCCTCAGGGGTGGGTCTCTGGGATTCTCAGGCACCATCTACACTGTCCTCCACTGTACACTCCCTCCCTCCCTCGCTTTTATCCTCTAAGCTGACCTGGGCCGGCAGAAAATATCCTAGTTGTTCCTGCCCCGGGGCCTCTATATCTGTTCTTTACCTCGAATTACTTGTCCAAAAGTACTGAAATGCTCAAGTCACCTACCCTGACTACTTTAAAGTTCAATCTTCCACCCTTGCAAACACTTCCGATGCTCCCATCCCTGACTTCGGTCTGGAGTAGATCCCTAGCACATCGTAGATGCTCAAATGGGTGATCTAACACCCCAAATGCAAGTCAAGAAGCAGTAGAGGTGAAGGTCACTTTGTGAACTGAATGACCCTGGAAATGTTGTCTTGGTACAAATGGTGGGATTTTTCCAGCAGAAACGCAAACCACAAGTGAGGGCTGTTAACTATTCTGAGAAGCCAGGATTTAATTGTCAGACCTTAATGGGACTGGGGTTTAGAGCAGGTGTGACAATTGAAGTTCATCCCAAGGGCATTTATGTGATGGAAGGGGCTGACTTAGGGGCATAAAACTGAGGCACCACCATCAAGCTTCTGCAAGCTGATAACACTTATGTAGGTGCATAAAAAAGCCTTGTTGGACTTAGGGCTGTTCAATGTGAGACGATAAAGCAAACTTGGGTAAAACGCTCCCAAGTCCTGGCAGGGTGCTAGGCTCTGTGGAAGGTCCTGTGTTGGTCTGGGTGCTCAGAAGCTTGGGGAGGAGGGGAAGGGGTGCCAACTGTGATAAAAATTGTAAATGTCTCCAAAACAATATGGCTGGCAGTCAGTTGCTGGGATTGAAAGGTGAGGGCACGGGGCGCCATCTCCCTGGTTTCTCTGCAGGGTGATCTCCGTTGGGTGGGCTCAGGAACACCAGGGTGGTGTCAAAAGTGCTGTGGTTCCAGGACTTCCTCGGGCTTGCCTCCTCCTCACCCATACCTTCATTAACGTGATCTGACAGAGCACGCCCTCGGCCTTCAGCGGGGACTTGAAAGGTCTCTACCCGGTAATTCTCCGTGTCAGCCCAGGACTTCTGAGCATTGTCTCACTTGTGTAACCAACTGTCTCCCTGGCATCCAGGCAGGGATGTGTGAGGCCAGTCTCTTCGACTGAGTTCTCAAAGTAGACAAGTATGTGTTACACTCACTCCTGCGCCTGCTGGGTGAATCGGCCCACCTCCCCTCTGCCTGGTAAACATCACCGGAACGGGGACCACATGTTTTTCCAATACTTAGCCAAAGGCCCACCAAGTGAGCCAAATGAAGCTGCTGATTGTTGTGTCCTAGAGGGAATTGCCTGAACTTGCTCTGAATTCCAAAGTGTAAACTAGTGTGTCTGGAAAACGTGCTGTTAGGGCGCCTCCTAGGCTGGCTTCGGATAAACTGGTTGCAGTCACGTGAACTGGGTAACTTGGACGAAACCCTTAGAGTTGGCTTCAGGTGTGTGTAGGCCTTACAGCTTCCCCTCGCTGGAGCAAAGTGGGTTTCAGGTCAGTTCTGTGAAAGCTTTGTAGTAAAACGAGGGCTGGGGAATGTGTGACTGAGAATTCACCCTTCCTGTGCACGCTCAGCCTCAGCCCTGTTTCCTCTCCTGTAAGTGGGAATATACAGAAGAGACGTCTTTGGGCTCCTCTCACAAGCTTCAGGGAGGAACAGAGAAAGGAGGGAAGGGACAAGGAGTTCCGAACTTCTCTCCAAGGTCCGTAAACCTACTTGCTCACTTGCAACCCCCCACATTCTCATGTCCAGGCTCAGAGGCAACTGCTCATTCCTGTTCAAGAGTGTCCGGCCCCCCTACAAAGGGCTCTGTGCCGGGAGCAAGAGGGGGCGAGCCTTCCCTCTTCAGGTGCTCCCAGGGGCACTAGTCCACATCCTGGGAGGGCAGGGCCCTGCCTTGTCTAGGAATCTGTCTTTCTGGATCCTTCCCTGTAGCTCAGGTATGCCACACTCAAGGGCCATCTCTGAAGTGTGTCTGGAACAGGTCACCCCCACCCCCTGCAGCCAGCCGGCCTTGGTGCCCCCATCTTCTCCAGTGCTCACCAAAAGCAGCCCCCTACTCACAAATTCCCAGAAATGCTTTCCCTGATCAGATCAAGGGTCCATTCATGGTCGTCTTAGCGACAAAGGGGGGGGGCTAGAGGCAAAGTCACCTGAGGCTCACCTAGCCACACGGTACCCACCTGGTGACTCTGGAATGTTGGGGTGGGTCTCTGGGCTTTCCTACTAGAAGGGAGATCTATTGAGGGCTAGGCCGTCACCCCAAAAGTGCTTCACTGCTCTTGTCCTGTGGGCTTTGTCAGAAGACAACACAAAACCCTGACCCACCTGTACAAACCTATACAACAGGGCTAACCTCTGGGTATGAATCCAAGGCCAAGAGCAAGAAGTATCTCCAACCCTGAGTGTAGATGCAGTGCTGGGTCGCTTCGTGGGCCTCTCAGCTGAAAACAAGCAGTGTTTAACAAGGCCCACCGGGCGGCACGCTTTGTAAGCAGGTGGATGTGTAACTCGTGTGACCCGTGCCTGCCTTGAGCCTCAGGTGTGTCCCCATTTGAGGAGGTAATTGGCAGGAGATGGACCTCTGAGAGGAGAACTCAGGATGACTGCATAGCTTCAGACCAGTTTTAATGATCCAGGGACCAGATCCTCAAGTTTTACTGACCTGTGTATTTCTTTAAACTGTCACTTCATAGGCAGCTACACCTGCGTTATCTGATCCCTCCGAGGTCAGGGTGAGGGTTAACTGGCTGCCATCAGCAACCCTGGTTTCAGAGACCTAAGCCTGCGTTGCATGCTGTGGCCCCCCTCCTCCTCTCTCCTCTCCCACAGAGTGGGTCTGGGCCACTCACTCCGGTCCCCTGCCTCTTATTTTGCACAAAGAATTCCAGCGAGTGAAGTCATGCTTTTGTCCTCTTCCATCTGACTTGTTCCACTAGCATAATACCCTCAGGATCCACCCATGTTGTTGTAAATAACAAACAAAACAAACTCCTAAACAGCAGAATGGTGGTTACCAGGGGGAAAGGGAGGGGGCGAAAAGGGTGGATTGGGTAAAGGGGTCAAATATATATGATGATGGAATGATACTGGACTGCTGTTAACCAATGTTACTGCAATAAACTCTAGAAAAAATCTTCTCAGAAAACCTCCCATGAGCTGTAAAATGAACACGAGTCCCTGCTGCCTGAGCCCCTGGGCATCTGAACCAAATGCTCCCTTTTTAAGAGGCACCAGTCATAGTGGGTTAAGATCCAGCCTGCTCCATTGTAACCCTGTTTTAACTAATTACAAGTGGTAGCCCGAGGGACAGGTGGTGGTCTTGTCCTTAGCCTCCCCGAGGAAGGGACCCTTTCTAGAACAGGAGACATATCTGCCCGAGCACCTTGGGAGACATGCTCTCCCTTGGGTCAGGTTATGACCTGCTTAAGTTCAAAAGCTGGGGTGCGACCAGGATTCAAACTCAAATCTGCTTTCAGAGCCCAAGCTGTTTTTGTTAACACGTGAGAGAGGGCTGAACCTTTGCCAGCCTTAGTTGTGTTCTTGAACAGGCAACTAAATCTTGTTCTAGTAAATGGCAGAATGACTATTAGGTGGGATAGATAGTAAACCAAGGCAGAGGGGAGGAGAGAGACACATCTCACCCATTAATTCAGCATTCCTGAACCTGGTCTGATGAGATTGCCAGGAGTTCTGAATATCACAAGGAAAAACGTGATGTTCTCCCCCAGCTACTCCCCAGTGCAGGAGGGAAGCCC